CTTTCTTTGCAGCTGAACCTGTTGGTGAAGGTGGTGCAGCTTCCCCACCCATACCCATCACTGAGCCTCTGGGAGATGCTGAGGGTAGGTCAAGGCCTTTCCCCCTGCGAGAGCTGCCAGCTCAGAGCCCAAAGCTCAGCCAGGGGGGCATCGCTGCAGGTGCCAGGACAGAACCATGCACAAGTGTGCCCTCGCCCTGGGCCATCCCCTCACCGCTCCTGCGGCTCAGTGCTGCCCGTGCAGATCTGCAGAGATGACAGAAGCTTCTGCGGCTGTTGAGTTTCAGGTGTGGCTGCAGGGAGGTCTTTCCCTGGTCCTTTGGTAGATGCTGCTCAAAAGCCCAGCTCCCATCGCAGGGGTGAGTAGCGTGTCCCTGCTGACACCATAGGCTGAGCACGGGTTTTGTAAAATCCTCTGGGAAATGGAAATGTTTTGCTCTAAGGTCCTCCAACAGGGAACAGTAAAGCTCCAGGATACAAGAAGCCCCATGGGCCATCTGAACACATGAGGCAAATGCTGAAGGAAATGCTGCAGGCAGGACAAGGTGGGTGCATTTCCCTCAGCCTTCTCCTGGGACTCAGCCGACGGGGCCTTTCCCTGCACATCTGGACAGGCCCTGCCCGGCACAGCAGAAAGGGATCCATGGCAGCCTCACTGCCCCGCTGCTGCTCTCACAGCCTGCAGGGCTGTTTCCCAGCCTGGCCTGGCTGCAGCTTCTCCCCAGCTTCTGCAGGAAGGCATTTGGCACCAGCTGACAGGGAGCCCCAACTGCACCATTGTCCATGCACAGCCTGACATCCCCTGCAATTTCCCAGTCTCCAGGCAGATCAGGAGGGGTGGTGGATTGGAGAAGGGAAGGTCCTGTCCAATCCCAAAAGCTCATCTGATTTCCTGATCCTTCATTCCATGACTTTGACCAGTATTGGCTTATGAAGATGGCACCTCCCCGATGGTGAACAGTCCCATCTCATCCAGCTGTGCCTTTGCTTTCTCAAGCGATGAACCAGGAGTCTCTACAGAAGGTGGCTGTTCCAGAAAGAAGCAGTGGCCTAGTGCCAGCCTTTACTGCAGGAGGGCAGGCAGTTCCAGGCACTGGCACAGGAGATAATTGCTCCAGTGTGTCTTGACAGGGCCTGACACTGTCCCCTGGGGCTGGGGGAGCTGTCACGGGGCAGGGAGGGCCAGGGCTGGCAGGGGCTGCTCAGGGATGGGTTTGGCCCCTGTCCCTCCAAGCAGAGATGGCCCAAGCAGCTGTGCTGGCCCCGGGCTCTCCTGCCGGCCTGCTGGGCTTTGTTGGGTGGCACAGCCTGTGCCAAGGGGTGGCAAGGTGCCTGCAGGCCCCAGCTCTGGGGCAAACAGAGAACGTCCTGGCCGCATCCACCGTGCTGCCAGCTCAGCAGTGCAGCACAGTGCGGGCTCACGCTCCCCATTGTTCCCACAGAAATGCTTGGCAAATCCAGTACAAATGCCCAGAATCCACCGAGCACCCCAAGAATTGTCTGCCCCCAGGATGTGCCCCCTGGTCCTGCATGATAGGCACAGTGGTGACACTGTTCTCTGTGCCACTTGTGCTGATGGGCTGCTATCTTGGCATTCAGAAGCTGTACGAGAGCAGACGTTCAGTTGTTGATTTTTCTCCCCACTTTTCTTGTAGCTCTGCTCATAGCAGGGGTAGCCTGACTCGTAGTCATGCTGCAGTGGAGCTGTGGCCAGTCCATGGCTGTCCAAAGAACTCTGCTGAGGGTTCTGCTGCTGCCCAGTGCTTTCCTTGGCCTCTTCATTGCTGGGCCTTGTCCTGGGGGCCCGCTGGGGCTGCAGCCAGTGCTGGCTCCCACTGAGGCTGCCTGGCCAAGAGCAGCCCCAGGGGCACAGGGCAGAGGCACAGCAAGTTCTCAACAATATTTGGGCAACACAGTTCAAGACAGGACACTGCTTATTTAGTAGCTGCTGTAAAGTTTCATGGTAACAGTGATGTTACCCATCAAGCAAATTTGTTCCAGTTCAGTGTTTAAAGAAATCCAACCAATGAAGGTTTGGCTTTGGCCTTGAGGCTTTGCTCTTTGCGTGAGCCCTGTTCTGGATTGATTCCCACTCAGTCTTGGAGCCAGTTGTGGGTGAAGACTCATCCCAGCCCTGACCCTTGGCAGGTCTGGGCTCAAAGGGATGGCCAAGGCTGCACTGCACATGACTGGTGTTCAGGGCCCCATTATCAAAGGCTTTGAGAAGTTTAAAATACTCTATTTTTACCACATAGTTTTCTTCATGGAATTCCTTCCCTTTTTTAAAACTTAGTTTTAAAAAAACTTAGTTTAAAAAAACCCGTTCTTTTCAAGAGCTTATTCTAGTTATTTGATATAGCGGATGATGGTCTAATTACTCCTCGGCTGAATTAGAAAACCGTAAGTACAATAATATGAAATAATATTTACACTCTTATGTCTTTCACAGATTCTTGAAACTTATGTTGGTTTGATGTGACCAACAGAAGAGTTATGCTCTGCTTTTAGTTCAAACAAGAAGCAGCCCCGGAATCTGTTGAGAAGAGTCTCTTCACTTCATAGCTAAAGCAAACTGCCAGCGTTCTCTTTTTCCGGCTCTGGGCAGGAAGATAAAAATCTATCAGCAGAAAATACTCAAGTGAAGTGACTGATATGAATTAGGGATTTGGTCTGTTTGCTCCCTAACCCCAAAGTTCCTCAGAGCTGCAGCTCCCTGCTCTCTTTGCAGACAGAGGCTGGCTGTGGCTGACGGCCACGTGCCTGGCCTGGTGCACACCAGATGCACACACGAGCTGAGGGATCATCCCTGCACACCCCATCCTGGGAGAACCGAGTTCATTGAGGATTCTGGCACGGTGTTATGGCACGGCAGCAAAAGAAGGCAAAAGAAAGGCTAGAATTGGCACCATTCCAACCACTTTATATTTTGCCGTGTGTAATGGAGATAGAAACTACAAGGTTCCTGTTCATGCACAATTTGCTGTCTGAGAGCATTCAGTTCTCCGGTCACAGGGTCTTGCAGGTCTGTGTCTGAGATGACTTTTAAAAACAAAAACAACCTTTATGTGCAACACCTGTGTATCAAAACTTCATCATACAAGGTCGTTTCTACTGTTAAGGTGATGAAAAAAAACCAAAAAAGCAAAAAACAAATGCAAAACTGTGACCAAATAAAACAGGCAAACAAAACAAGCACCAAGAAAAAAAAAAAAAAACAAAAACTAAGCCAACACAATCATCCCCACAAATGCAGAAAAATACAAAAATCAGGTGAAGGAGGCAGAGATCCAGGAACAACAAATGGGCAGAGGAACTACAGGAAGGTCAGCTAATAAGAAAGGAGAGAGAATAAGTGGCTACGGCATCAAACTAGCTGGGGAACCTGAGGTACTGTTCTCACCCTCCTGAAAACAATCTAACATAAAAATGAACAGCAACATAAATGATGATGATTGTGATAATGGGAGTCTGCATGTTTAGCTTTAATATATCCATTGTGTGTGAGTTGAGTTTTCCTTCTTAAATCACATCATCTGGAAAGGGTTTGTTTCTGTGCAAAGAAAAATAACTCCAGTGGAAAATGAGGCCGGCTTGGAAAACATTGAAAGCAAGAGCTAAAAAGAAAGTACCTGTTTTTAATGTTGTTTTGTTGGTTTGCTGTTTGTTCATGGGTTTTTTGTCTCTCTTAGAAAGCAGCCCCCTGGATGTTAATGCACACAACATGTTGTTTGTAAAGGGCTGTCTTTGCAAAAAACCTTGCAGTTTTGTGATGCAAGACAGAAACAGCTTCCCTTGGGCTCCAGCTGGAAGGCTTGGAAATGTGTTCCAGAAACTCCTGATAGGACAGACTCTGATTAACACAATTTAAGGTGATGAAGTTCAAGATGTAAGTTATGCAGTCAAATAATCAGAGCATTTAAATGCCAAGCAGCAGGAAAGGGCTGTGCATTGGAATGATAGGAAACAGACACAGAGGCATAATGGACAAATTTCTCAGGCAAACCAGACCAGAAATACTGGGAGCACAAAGGGGGACACCCAGGATGTTATAAATAAATTCACTTTCATAGGCGGAGTTATTGATGGTTAATTATATGTTATTATGGATTGTTAATTATTATAATGACTTGTTATATAATTAATATGGTAAGTTACTGAGTTGAATGTATGTACAGTTGTTTAAGTGTATGTATATGGCTACTAAACAGAGAAAGGGGGGTGGTAAGAAGGTGCAAGAGTAAGAATCTTCTAGAAAAGTCACATCCTAGGGTGATGACAGCAACTGGAACTAGGACTGGGAAACGAGCCACCCAGTAAGATTGCTGTGTTCCAAAATGATTGGTCAGGACTGCATCCTCTTACAGAGCTGTCAGCAACCCAGAAAAGGACCAGTGGGCCAGAGGATCCAAAGCGCAACAATCAAGCACCCCCAGGAGACTTTAAAAAATCCCTGGGTGCGGAGCACCCGGGCTCTTTCGAGGGTACCTCGTGCCCGCAGGAACACCTTGTTACACAGCACTGTTAGAGCTACCTCTGGCTTGTCGTGCAGGCCTTAGGCCTACCCTAAGGCCTCGTCCTCTGTTGTTCTAAGCTTTAATAAACAGGCACATGTTTTTTTTAAAAGCCATCAGCCTTTTTTTAATTTAAATTTGCCTGTTTACCACAAGGAGGCCCAGCAAATCCTTGCTGAGGACCCATTTCAGAGCTGGAGGTAAGGTCCATGTCCTGACTGTTCTCACTTCACAGGGCTGGAGGCCTGGAGTGGCAGTGCCTGAACAGCACCTTCCTGCCCACAGTACCAGCCTCGATGGCTGCCTCGGGGCCTGGCATTTGGCCCTGCACTTGCTGCAGGAGTCCCTGCCCAGGTTCCCTGCTGGCCCAACCTTCGCACCCATCTCAGAACCTGGGTTCCCAAGGGGGCCGCCTCAAGTGGTTGCCAGGGACCTGAGGCCATGGCTGCCCCACTTTTGGCTGCACGATGCTGATGTCAGAGTGGCCATTGTGACCTGTGCAACCAAGGCCTCAAAAGGGAAGGCTGGGCTCAGGCCGTGTGTCAGTGCGACCTGACAACAGGAGGAGAAGGCAGGGCAGGGACTCTGCTGCCCAGGGACCAGAGGAGCCCCACAGCTCAGGCTCCGGGCCTGTGCTGCAGGCTCCCCTGCCTCTCCCTGCCCAGAATCAGCGGAGGAACAGCCAGAGCAGACTGCGGTGTTCCTCGAGGCGACGACGGGAGGAGAAGGCGGGCAGGAGCAGGGCTCACGCAGGGCTCAGCAGGGAGTAGTGCCCTCGTGGCTCTGGGCCTGTGCTGCAAACTCCCCACCCTCCTCTTTCTCCCAGACAGAGAGAACCAGCACCTGGAGGAGACTGTGACGTGTCTGGACAGGGACTCGCTGCTGACGGCTGCCATGTGTGACAGCAAGCAGGAGGGCCCTGGTGCCAGGGAGCCAGGTGAGGGCAAGGCCACCCTCCCACAGCCAGGCCCAGGGGCTCCTGTGGCAGGCGTTGTGTGGGGCCCAGAGCAGAGGCAGGGGGAGGCAGGAGCTGCTCAGCCATGCCGCGGCTGGGAGCCTCCTTCCTCCCCAAGTGGGGCCCAGCTGGGCCAGGGGGCAGCTCTTGGGACACCCGTGCCCGCAATGGCCCCTGCTCTCCAAGGCCTCCAGCCCTGCCCATCAGCCAGGCAGGCCGGCAGGGACAGAGCAGCCCTTCGGGCCGATGCTGCTGCAGCCAAAGAGCCCCGCAGAGGTGCTCATGCCCGCTGCCATTGGCTCTGTGCCCTGCAGTGTGCATGCTGTGTCGCCGTGCAGAGGCTGACCCGGACATCTGCGGTGACAAACTGGAGAAGCGCGGGCTCTGTGCCCACGTGTACTGCCTGGTGAGTGGCTCCGGGCGCTCCCTCCACCATTGCAATGGGCAGTTCCTGCCCCTCTCTCCTCATCTGCTCCTCCCCTCTGCTGCAGTTCTTTGCCACTCTACTTTTCCGTCAAGAGAACAAGCACGTTGGACTCATGGGATTTCTTCCTCAAGATATCCAAATTGCAGTGCGGCGGGCGGCACAAAAGGTGAGAGCCTGATGCAAGCAGGGAGATTTGTGCCAGATGGGGTTTGTTAGCGCTTAGCCCAGACACTAGGAATGAAAGACCTGCCCTTCAGGCCGGCTGTGGGACAAAGTCTGGCTCCCAGCAGCTGCACAGAGGCTCTGGCACAGGAGCCCCCCTCCTCCACCAGACGGCTCTTTGGGCTGAGACCCAGCAGTGGCCACATCCTGCGCCCTGCCCGGAGCCCTGGGGCTGCCTGGGGAGGCCCCAAGGCTGCTGCTGATGGGGTTGCTTGGCTCTTTCCAGCGCTGCTGCGTCTGTGGCCTGAGCAGGGCAGCCATCATGTGCTGCATGGAGGGCTGTGACAGATGGTTCCACCTGCCCTGTGCCAAGGAGGGTGGCTGCATCACACAGTATATTCCATATTACAGGTACAACCTCCCCACTCCTGGTCACCCCTGGCGGATGATCCAATACTTCTCACTTTGCCCATCCATTTTCCTCCAGCTCCTTCTGCCCTGAGCACTGTCCAGAGCAGGATGTGGAGGCAACTCCAGAGCCGGGCACCGATTGCCTCATCTGCATGGAGCCTGTGGAGGATAGAAAGACCTTCAGAACCCTGGTGTGCCCAACGTGCAAAAGGGCCTGGTTCCACAGGGACTGCATCCAGGTAGGAGCCCTCCCCTCAGCCCCAGGGCACAGCAGGGTCTCAGCAGCACCAGGGCCTTGTTCACCCTGCTTCTGTTTGTCCTGCAGGGACAGGCCATGCGCGCTGGTCTTTTATATTTCCGGTGCCCCCTGTGCAGAGACCAGGAGGCATTCCTTGTTGAAATGTTCATCATGGGGATCCGAACCCCCTTGAGGTTGGTGTCCTTCTGCCTGCCTCACAGGACAGGAGGTGCAAGGTCTGTGCTGTGCCAGGCCCTGCCCCAGCAGTCCTGGCCCTGCCCTGTCCTGTGAGTCTGGGCTTCAGCTTCTGGCACGACTTGGGAAAGTATGGGAGGAAGAGCAGGGACAACCTGTACCTCCATGAGGGAAGGGCAGCAGAAACTCATCAGCTTTTCCTTTCTCCATCAGACTGCCAACATGGGAGGACAACAATGCCTTCGTGGATCTAGGAGAGAGGCACAGCAGGTGCAATGCCAGGGATTGCCTTTACCCGGGAGGCAGGGAGGAGGCAGAGGAAGAGGGGTAAGTTGGGGAGCTGCACCTGAGGCTCTGCAGGGTACCCGTGTCACTCAAGGGCTCAAAGAGAAAAGAAGTAGAAGAGCTTGGCCGGACAATCACTTTGTCCTCAGTGCCATAAACCCATTTGCTTCCCCAGGCCCTGGGAACTGCTCCTGTGCTCCTCCTGCGCTGCTGAGGGCACCCACAGGCACTGCTCCGGCCTGAGAAACAGCGTACAGAGCTGGGAGTGTGACAGCTGTGCTGGTCTTGGAATGGGTATGAGGCAAAGCACCCGGTGTCCCTGGGCTGGGGGCAGTGCCCAGGCTGGGCCTGGCAGAGCGCGTCTGCTCCTGAAGGGCTGGGGTTCTGCTCTGGCCAGGCTTGCCTTGGGCCTGGGTGGTCTTTGACATTCCTGCTTGTCCTTACAGCCTCCAGAGATGAGCCAGAGCTCAGTGGCCCCCGGCTGGCTAGTCAGTCAGGACTGGAGCCTGCTCACGGCTCCGCAGAATCTGAGGCCATCAGCCCCAGCTCCTGTGGCCCGGTGCCATCGGGGCTGGATCCCCAGGCTTCATCTGCAGAGACCAGCAGCAGCAGCAGCCACCAACGCACAGCACGGCAGCAGTCTCTGCCATCTCCCTCGCTGGACACCAGCAGCCCCAGCACACCAAGGTCAATGTACAGCAGCACCCCTGAGCCTGAGGACAGCGGCCATTCCAGACATGCTGGGCCCGGCCGCAGGCGCACCCGCTCCCGCCAGCAAGGTCGGGCCTCCAATGGACCAGTCCGATCGAGGAGTTGCCGTGAGAGCTGCAGCAGGACGAGACCAAGGACTGAGAGGCCCAGGCAAAGGGAGACACCTTCACAGGCATCCCCCAGACGCCGCCGCTCCTGCCAGCAGCACCGGGCCCTCAGTCCACCTGTCCGGTCCAGGAGTCGTCGTGACAGCAGCCACAGGACAGCACCAAGGACTGAGAGGCCCAGGCAAAGGGAGACTCCATCAGGGACATCGCCCAGACGCAGAAGCTCCCGCCTGCAGCGCCGGGCCTCAAATCAACCTCTCCGGTCCAGGAGTCGCCAGGACAGGAGCAGGAGGAGAGCAGCAAGTGCTGAAATGCCCAGGCGCACGGGGACACCATCAGGGAGGACCCACAGGAGCAACCGCTCCCGCCAGCAGCGTCGGGCCTCAACTGGGACCTCCAACAGCAGCGCGTAGCCTCAACTTTTCTTTCTAGTCCATCAGTTCACTGCCGGAAGTGAAGGTGAGAACGGTCAGTACAGGGACCTTACGATTTGCAGGTCTGTGAGAAAACTGTATTGGCTCTTGACATTTCTACTGGCAGGAAAGTAGTCTTGTGCTAAATCCCTTGATTTCTGTCTTACCAGGTATTAAGTGAAAAGTCACTTAAATGATTAAGAAGGACTCTTCTTCCGGCCTTTCGACTCCAAGCTGAGATGTTTCCCCACTGCTCACTCTTGAGTGAACCTCTCCTTAATGGGCTTGGATACAGTTAGGGAGATGTTCAGAGCAAGGTGTGTCTTAGGGAAGCTGTCTTTGGAAAGGTCATGCACTGTTTTGCTATCCTTGAACAAACTCATTTCAGTAAAGCCAAAAGAAAGAAGAAAGAAGAGAGCGAGACACTGCCTCAAGTGTCTGAAGAAATCCATTACTTTATTGCTCCTGACTTAAAAGATTTGTTTGGAGCTTCAAAGAACAAACCAGAAAAGACTGTGGAAATACCCTGGGACAAAGAGGATGCACAGGACTCTGCCCCAGGTGACCATCTGGAACCTTTGCCCAAGAACGACGCAGCTCAGGAGTCGAGCACGTCCAAGTTTTCCTTCTTTGGAGACACAGAGGAGTTGGGCATCAAAGAAGGTAACAGCAGAACTCTTCTCACAGTGCCATTTCGAAGGAAGAGCTTCTGGCAGGCACTGTAGAGCATTGTGGTGTAAAGAAGGTCAGGACACAGGGGATTTTCAGCAGCAGAAGTCAGTAAATAGGCAGAAGCAATTTGATCTTCATTTCTGCTTGCCAAGGCTGTGGTAGATTAATGAGCGGTAAGTCATGCTTGCATCTCAGGAATTCTGAAAGGCGTGCTTTGAGAAGGAAATGGGGTTTTTTGCTGAGTGGTGAAAAGGCTTGTTGTCATGCCCTTAATCTCTCAAACAGGGAGAACGGTGACACACCAGTCATATCAAGTTTCAGAGAACCCAACAAGATTTTAAAGGAAATGTGTGTTAATGTAGAGGGAGGAGCAAAAGCCTGGAGTTGACCGCAAGATCCATGAACATTCTGCTTGTTACTGAATTCTATTCTTGGACCTTTAGAAAAAGGAAAATGAATGACACATGATCGTTGGAATGTTCTAACTGTAGATAAAATGAGGCCTTATGAAAAGAAGACGAAACAACATTAAATCGAGTCACAGTCCTGTAGGAGAGAAAAGAAAGCGTGTGAAGTTATCTAAAATATTTTTAAAAAACCAATGCAAAAATGCAAAGCAAGGACCCCTCACACTTGTGCTGAATTCAGAAGGTATTCAGTGTCTTCTGAATGCAACGATACATTCATTAGAATACAGCAGAGATCCCGAGAACAGAGTGCAAAATCCTGGAGCCGAGATGTAGCTCAGAAAATCTGGCAGAAGCAGATTCTGTCCTTCCTACATCTGTCTTCTCCACTGTAAGTATTTGTCTTGAAAGGAGGAATTCTTCCTGACAAGTGGAGGAACAATCTGGATGTGGCTTTGTTTCTTTTTGGGTGCTCTTATTGCAGTCTTGCAGACTCGGAACAATAAAGCCGGTAAAAGTCACATGGCAAGAGGATTCACGTTTCCGAGACGGCAGTTCTGAGAATGATGGTGAGCCTGAGACGTGAGAAACTGAAAAGGACCAAGAAATGCAAGTTCCATTTCTATTTGCTGTCTACCTGGCTGTAGTAGTTGGATGCTATGGGAATATTAATAGCAGCACTCAGGGAATGGGAAACTGAGATTGCACACCTCTGAGCAATGAAAGTCATCTTGGAAAACCATTTGTGCTGCCCAGAGTAAAAACTCCAAGCAGCCCATGTGATGTGAAGTTGAATATTAAAAGAGAGATGTTGAGCGCAAGAAATTAACTGGCTCATTTTTGTTTGACCAACTCCAATCTGAGTTTGGCCAGAAGCCAAAGACACAGTCAGTTTTCTGTTAAGAAGTTGTTTTTTTTTTTCTAGAAGGCTCTATTTGGTTACTAGGGAATAAAGCTTTTCAATGCATACCATTTCTCTGAAGCACTGCAGTTTTAACTTGTGTTCATGGAATTTGATAGTACAATTTTGGATGCTAAAATCCCTTTGTACTTGTCTAGGTTTGTTTCTTTACCATGCACAGAAGGTAGTATAGTTGTCTTCTTTGAAGATGATGAATGCCTAAGAGGTATGACAGAATTTCTTCGCCCCCTTTTGTATTTTTTTAAAACTGTTCCTGGAATTCCGTGAGGAGGAAAAAATGCTGCCTGCTTAGGAATGTTTCCTAGTCAACTTTTGGCATCCTTACTTGTGCTCAAAATTGTGGTAGAATCCCATGAGAAAGCCCTGGTAAAATAAAGGCCAAGCAGATTTCTGGCTTTCTTCTCTTTCAGATAATTGCCTAATAGGAATCTAGACTTTTAGACCTTACCAAAACATTAGCCACGTGACAGGTTACCTAGACATTTTGGATCCTTTCAGGTATTTATATAATGTTTAACTTTTTCCCGTCTTTCTGGTGTTACCACTAGGAATGTTGAGTGTTCTTGTCCCTGTGGTTCTTTGTCCTAATGAATCTGGGCTTTTCTCTTCTGAATCCAGGGGATTTGGTATTTAGAAACAAAGAAAACAACAACCAAAGGAAACACACAGAGTCCCCAAAAATTGCAGAGGCCAGCAAAACAATTGCTTGTTATATGTTTTGTAGAATAGAGTCTTAAGACAGGCTTAAATGATGTGCGTTTCTCAAGACTGACTCGATAACGCTGCAGAAATGTATTGCTGTGTTCATACAGTTAGTGCCCAGCACTCTTCCAGGCGGTCTGATTTGCAGGGGGTGTTAAAATGGAGAGCTCAGTCCTTAGCAGGCCCCAATTCTGGGGGAAGATGTGTGATCCTGGTGCTGAGCTTCTAATGAAACAGCGGCTATTTCACTGCAATTTAGACTGCAGCATGCTGAGGAAAACTGCTGCTGCCTTTCATTGTTCTGCGGACACCAGGCCACAGTAGGGAACATTTCTGTTGGGAGACAACGTCTGGTGGGGGGCAAGAGAACAGGAAGGATGTGAAGAATTGACTCCTGACTTTATTGCTGTGTTGTCCATGATTGTTAGAAGCAGCAGCACAATCAGAAGTGTTTAAGCCTATTCATTGGTTCTTTTTTTTTTTTTTTTCCACAGAGGGCCCAAAGTTATGTTGTAGATTAGTAGAGTTCAGTGAAGAAAAAGGGTTGGGAAGATTGATGTAGTTTATTGCTTGAGGTGAGTATGTAACATCTGTTCCCCGGGAACTGTAGGAGAAAGCTGAGCACGGGGAGGAAATGCAGGTATGAATGGGCATGCAGAATTAATTCAGGACCTCAAGAAGAGCCTGCAACTTTGCAACTCCCCAGGAACAAAAGTGTTTTAATCTACCGGTGTGTATAACATCATGTTGTGTGGTCCAGTCAGGTAAACCACTACATCTTTGTATGTTACAGGAGCAGCTACTTAACTGTATGTAAAGGATGTATTTAAGAGAAAGAGTGAATTTAGAGACTTCTCCTAACAGTGGATTCAGAAACTTCTCTGAAGAATTCGTTAGATTTTCATTATTTCCCAGAATGCTGAAGGAAGCATAGGGATACCAAACAGAAATGCAAGGAAACCAATAAAATCTTTAGTGAATAGAAACGTGCCACTTTTGTTCCTTGAAGAACTCAACAAACAATGTTACTTCCAAAAGCCTTTCAAAGATCTAAGAGGAAAAACAAATTGGCAAACCCTGTTTGGCAGTGTTTACAATCTGGGGCTGATGGTCTTGGAGGTTGGGGAGCCACGGGAAGGCTCCAGTCCTGACTGTCCAGCCAGGCTGGGGCCATTGAGCTCCGGCTCATCCCTGGCGGCTCTAAGGGCAAGCAGGAATGTCAAACGCCCCCAAGACCCAGGCCAGGCCGGACGAGAGCAGAACCCCCGGCCCTCCAGGAGCGGACAGGCTCTGCCAAGCGCGACCTGGGCACTGCCCCCAGCCCAGGGACATGCGGGTGCTTTGCCCAGAGCCGTGCCCATAGCAGCAGAGCTGTCTCACCCCAGCTGGCTGTGGTGGGTGTGAGGCTCCAGCAGTGCCCGTGGGTGCCCTGGGCAGCGCATCAGCAGCAGCACAGGAGCTGTTGGCAGGGCCTGGGGAAACACAGGGGTCAGCCTCTGCACGGCGACACAGCATGCACACTGCAGGGCACAGAGCCAATGGCAGCGGGCATGAGCACCTCTGCGGGGCTCTTTGGCTGCAGCAGCATCGGCCCGAAGGGCTGCTCTGTCCCTGCCGGCCTGCCTGGCTGATGGGCAGGGCTGGAGGCCTTGGAGAGCAGGGGCCATTGTGGGCACGGGTGTCCCAAGAGCTGCCCCCTGGCCCAGCTGGGCCCCACTTGGGGAGGAAGGAGGCTCCCAGCCGCGGCATGGCTGAGCAGCTCCTGCCTCCCCCTGCCTCTGCTCTGGGCCCCACACAATGCCTGCCACAGGAGTCCCTGGGCCCGGCTGTGGGAGGGTGGCCTTGCCCTCACCTGGCTCCCTGGCACCAGGGCCCTCCTGCTTGCTGTCGCACATGGCAGCCGTCAGCAGTGAGTCCCTGTCCAGAAACGTCACAGTCTCCTCCAGGTGCTGGTCCTCTCTCTCTTTCTGGGAGAAAGAAGAGTATGGGGAGTTTACAGAACAGGCCCAGAGCCACGAGGGCACTACTCCCTGCTGAGCCCTGCTGAGCCCTGCTCCTGTCCGCCTTCTCCTCCAGTCAGTAGCAGCGGTCTTCATCATACATTCATTGGATGTGATCCGAACCAAGCAGGCCATTCAATTACCAGAAGCCTAACTATATCAGGTACTTCACTACTCTAAGTTTACTTTATAGCAGAAATTAAATATATATCGTTATTTCAAGGTTACTTTAACACTTTACATATAGCAGCCACTTCAACATTTGTGGAAAGCCAATAAGCCAATATTATATGTATGTCTCACAGATGGATTAGGGATCAGCATCCATTTGCAAAATTACTTCTTTTATTAACAACTTACTACAGAACTATTACAGAATGGAAGATTTCTTTTACTAACTCATGGCTAAGTACTCAGCTCCCTTTATGTGGACTATTTGAGGGACAGCTGTACCAAATCCAATCCCATTATTAAATTCGTAGCACTAGACAAAGGAATACCTGACTGCTTTTTAAGAGTTTAACATACTTGCAAAATTTTGATGGCAAACTCTTCTAATGTCAAAACACTGAGTAGGTTTTTTCACTGTCATGTTTCCTCTTATATAGTTGAGATTAATATGAAGATTAAGATTCAGTATGTTTTCTTTAGTCTTCCCTTTCACGCCCTTTATCTTTTGGCACACCATTTTCCTTTACACTCTATGGCTTCCCTCTGGTGTTTAAATGAGGTGTTTCCTTTCAAGGATGCTTTACCAAGGACCAAAGTTCCTTTTCTCATTTTTGGTACAACAGTCCCCCCCATTTTCTCCTCCCCTGGAGCCTAGAGTCTCGAGAACAGAGATCTTCTTCTTCCTGAAGATAGAGGGTACCATCACACGCTCCTTGTCACTGCAGCAGGTCACTCTCTTGGCTCCAACCATTGCATTCCCTTAAAAATGCAGTCTCTGTTGCAGGAGAAAATGGTTCAGTCTATGGCTATATAAGAAAAGTCCAGCCAAAAGCCACTCCGTCATCTCCTCCCACTTAGGATCTTTCCTCATCTTCTTCTGACATCTCGAGCCCCAGGCCGTCTCTCTTCTCTTTCAGACCAAGGAGGAGTAATATTTCACAAAGCTTTCATTGTCCAAGAAGGGGTTAAAAGTCTTGGACTCCCAGGACAGCTGAAATCTCGGCCCAGAACACCAACTCCCACGGCTGGGCACCTTCCCCTCCTCCTCTTCCTCCTCTGGCGGCCTACTGCCGGCACAGTCTCTGTCTCTTTCACTCTCTCTCCTTCTGGGGGGTGGCAGGGGGGAACAAAGACATCTCAGATTTTCTCCACCCTTCCATCTGCAGGGGCTGGCCTGGTTCCAGTCCCTTCACCCCCTGGGCCTCTCTCTTCCAGGCTACATGGCTTCCCCTCCCCCACCCAGCCTGTGGCTGGGCAGGGAGAGTCTGCACCCTTCTGCTGACCGGAACCAAAGAGACAGTTCCCCTGGGAGCTCTTGCTTTTAACCCCCTGTGTTCTCAGAGGCGTGTCCAATGCCTTCAGTGGCCACTCCAAGTGCCAGTATCCAAACCTGACCACTGATTGGTTTGACCACAACTTCCTGAGAAAATTTACTTCCCTGTCAAACCATGACACCATATTAGGTCTTGATATTTCTATTGGCAGGAAAGAAGTCTGTGCTAAATAGCTTGATTTCTGTGTCACCATGTATTAAGTGACAAGTCACTTAAGGATGTAGCTAATTAAAAAGGACCTTGTTCCTGCCCTTAGTCTCCAACCTGAGATGTTTCCCCACTGCTTACCTGTTGTGTCGCGCGCATCCAGCCACTAGTGGACTGCGACCTGGCTAGCGCCAGAGTGGCCAAAGACGGGTCAGGAACAACACCCCCGGTGATCCACAGGACTAGCGGAGAAACTCTGCGGTCTGGGGAACACAACGGTGGTGTCGTCACACAGCGCAGCGACAGAGACAAGTATAACTGCAATAGCAACACTGAAGATATTTAGTAAAGAAAAGAGGACAAACAAGTGTGCAAAACAAAACATAAGGTGTCCACGCAAACAAGTCAGTTCTTTATCCTGTGTGCACGCAGACCTTGGACCCGCACAGATGGCTGAAAGGCAGGCGCATTGCTTTACCCCCGAAATAGGGTGGGCACGGTGCGGACGTGTAGGACTGGCTGCCGGGAATGCAGAGCTTGGGAACAGAGTCAAACCTCGATAAGCACAGCTCTGTCAAAAAATGCCAGGAAAGGGCAGAACGAGTGGGGCGGTATTAAAGGCCCTGTTCGAAATGGCTGCCCGGGCTCCCCCCATCCAGCCCGGGCTGTGCAACACAAACCGCCTGGCACGGGAGGTGGGACCGCCCTGAGGAATACTGGCCATGGAGCGGGGCTGGGTCTACAACACCTCAGGGAAACTGGCCATGGAGCGGGGCTGGGTCTACAACACCTCAGGGAAACTGGCCATGGAGCGGGGCTGGGTCTACAACACCTCAGGGAAACTGGCCATGGAGCGGGGCTGGGGCTGTCACACCTCAGGGAAACTTGCCATGGAAGCCACCTCCAGAGGCTTTGATGCACTTGTTTCTTGGTTGAATGCCCATCAAAGATCAATCTAGCATCTTTGCAAACAAGCATGACATGCAAGGGCATTTAAAATTGAGTCTGATCTAATTATCAAAGATAAAGCTTCTCACTTCTAAACTTCCCTTTTCATGACTGCCAAACAATATATGAAAACAATAGAGACCTTTTCTTATATCTGACTTCAAATACCCATAATGCAAGATTCATTCTGAAGGCAGGAAAAAAGAAAACAAAGAAAATAGGAGCTAGGCAATTTTCACAAGGCACAGAGAAGAAAACAAACATTAGAAAACCTTAGAAAAAATAGTTTTTCTTCATCTTCCCAGTATCTGCTGTTTGAACTTTTGTTGTCGTAATTGTCCCTCTCAAAACAAGGCATGTTGCAGCTTTATTGTCTCAGTGGTGCATCTCCCCAGTCGCTGACTTGCCGTTTAAGCTCTGGTTCATTGGAAATCCATAACAAGGGATTCTCTGTGGAAGAGTGTTGCACAAGCCTCGGGATTCCTGACTATTCACCTCTGCCAATGCTCACAGTAATCTCCTAACACACCTGAGCTTCCTGTTGTTAGAAATTAGAAGCTTGACTCAGCCAATATATCAAGCAGCAATTTGATTTATTCATTAACATGGCAATGTATGAGCAAAGACAGTGCTGGGTACAGTGGTGGGGGTTTTCCCCTCCAACTGCACACTGATTGTTGGGCTTGCTGGTATTTATTGATCATATTCATAAGGTTTTTCCAGCAGTTTCTATTTCACATTTTTTTACGCACGCTTCCAGAAGTTTCTATTTCTACCTTTTGACGTCACAATTCTATACTTTAGGATCATAAAACTATGATGGTGATGTCTGGTTCCTTTCCAATTGCTATACTCTATTGTGATCTAGTCCAGGTTTCAATATCCTAGGATGTACATCCCAGGATGGACGGTGGGGTCCAGCTTCTATTTTCTAGACCATTAATCTATGATAGTGATGTCCAGCTTCCCCTTTTGAAATCATTAATCAAGAACATTGATGTCCATCTTCCTTTTCCAGGAGCTTGGGATAGGTTCACTTCCCTCTTCTGTTTAAATCCTTTATACATTCTAAAGATACAGTCTAAAATCCTTATATACTAAGCAATATTCTAAAGTTATAATACAAAGGTTCATATTGCAAAACAGCTTAAGACTTATATCACCGGCTGGGGGCTATGTACAAGTCACAAACAGGACGGGACTGCTGTGGTATGCGTCTCGAGCTGTTTATTTTTTAGCATCAGTCTCATTACAGGGTTATGACAATGGGAAGATGCCAGCAGCTCACATGCCAGGCAACAGACCAAGAACTTAATGTTACAACTTACTTTATAAGCTTTTTGACCAATCACACGAAGCAAAAGCATATTGACAGTAGTTCTATCCAATCACTATAAATACACGTACCTTTGGTTAAAACAATGCTGGCTTATTTCGAATACAATACTTGCTTGCAAGCCTCAAGATACAATGCACAGAGCTCCATTATTAAGCCTAGAACTTCCTAATATCTCACTAGATATACTTTTCTGCAACTTAGGAAGTTATTCTACCCAAGCGTTAATACACAGACTATTGTTCTATTTGTTCTTTCTTTCTACTTCTTGTATAATTTTTCTGCTGACAAATCTTATAGCTACTGCTTAGCTCTAATCACCATCCTGGTGCCTCTGAGGCCTGCCTTTTGCAACGTGCCCAAAACCCTCTGATTTTAAGGAATCCCACAGACTTATAATTGTTATTTGCAAGCAAAAGATTGGTTCACAAGCCTTCTTCCATGCTTTCCTCAGTTGTTTATTAGAACTCATCTTTATAACTGTCCCATGGCTGTGTTCCACACATTTCACAATTACAATTACACAGGTTACCTTTATTTACCTGACACAAAACACAACTTTGCATTTCACACTGTCTTTCTGTGAGAGAAAGATTCAGCTAAAGTCAAGGAAACGGGGCAGGGGAGACGGAAAGCTTCCCTTGAAATGCTTTTGGGAAGGCCTGCAAGGACCCTGCCTTCCTTCGGAACAGAGGTGGCCACAACACATGGTGTTGGCTGTCTTACCCTAGGTGCCCCTTCTGTTCCAGAAGGACTTTTGCCCACTTCATCACTTGTCTGTCCCTCCAGCTCCAGGGCCTCAAACCCGCTCTGTAAGGTACTAAACCTCTAAGTCAGCTGCAAGTTTTGAGAATAAGGCAGTGAGCATGGCCCGAACTAGGGTTTTTTAGTCAGGCTTACAATATATTTTGAGAAGAAGAGAAAAGGGGTAGATACCACACAAGAATCCAGCACAGCCTCACCAGATTTTTCATCTGGGTTCTTGAAGCACAATACCCAGCACTTGCGCTGAGCTGTCTTTTTGTGTGTTCTGGCGACCGGAACCATCCCATGGCCAGGCCCAGGGTAATCTGGGGGCCAAAGTCCTGTTGCCTGCAAACAGCACACTTTTTTACCCAGCTGGAGCTGATTTCAGCATGTTTGCTGAGTTGACTTTATGAGTGTTTTCCTAATCTTGGCAGTTCTAACAGATGTCCTTAAGGCCCCTAAATTGTGCATCTTTTGTGTCCACTATCAGTGGGCGTCCTTCTTCCCAAGCTTTGTCAGCTTCCCCCTGGGACTGAGATCAGTGAAACGTGCCCAGACCTGAGTCTTCAAAGACCATTCTAGCATCAAGTACTTTGCTTTTCTAACACCTGGCCATCACTCCGAGCTTGCAGGCTGCTATGTGCGGCACAGGTTAAATGTCTCTTCTTGTTGATCAGGTTTGGAAGTGTGCAAAGCTCAAGCGTTACAGGACATCCTTTCTTCATCAGGAAATGGGACCTCTCGCACAGTTTGCAACAGCTCCCCGCCCGCGCCTTGCAGAGAGCCAGAACGGTCCCGGCGCCATTCCCGGGCTCAGGGCGCTGCCTGGTGGGCGGGAGCCGCCATGACAGCGCCGGGGGCCGGAGGGCGGGAAGGGGCGGGCGGGTGTGAGGGGCGAGGCGGCTCCGCACAGAGCCGAGCCGGCGCTGCTCCCTCAGCGCGTTGCGGCCGCGCTGCGGGAGCGTGCGGGCGTTCCTCGGGCTCTGGGAGAAGCGTGTGGCCGCCGCGGGGTCCCGGCCCGCAGATCTTGCTGCTGGCCGAGGCTGCAGTGCCAGAGCTGCCGTGCGCCGTGGCACTGCCAGTGCGCCCCGGCAGAGCCGGGCTGGCAGTGCCGACACCTGAGGGAAGCTCTGCCATGGCACTGCCGGAGCCCCCCGGCAGAGCCGGGCTGGCAGTGCCGACACCTGAGGGAAGCTCTGCCATGGCACTGCCGGAGCCCCCCGGCAGAGCCGGGCTGGCAGTGCCGACACCTGAGGGAAGCTCTGCCATGGCACTGCCGGGGCCGCTCCTGCCCCGGGGCCGCCGGCAGGAGCGACGCCTGGGACCTGCTGACTGACCGGCATTGCTTGGCTCTCTTCAGTAGATCGAGGGAGTGGCACCACGAAATAGCAGAGTATTACACCTGATTTAAAACACCAGAGGGAAGCCATAGAGTGTAAAGGAAAATGGTGTGCCAAAAGATAAAGGGCGTGAAAGGGAAGACTAAAGAAAACATACTGAATCTTAATCTTCATATTAATCTCAACTATATAAGAGGAAACATGACAGTGAAAAAACCTACTCAGTGTTTTGACATTAGTAGAGTTTGCCATCAAAATTTTGCAAGTATGTTCAACTCTTAAAAAGCAGTCAGGTATTCCTTTGTCTAGTGCTACGAATTTAATAATGGGATTGGATTTGGTACAGCTGTCCCTCAAATAGTCCACATAAAGGGAGCTGAGTACTTAGCCATGAGTTAGTAAAAGAAATCTTCCATTCTGTAATAGTTCTGTAGTAAGTTGTTAATAAAAGAAGTAATTTTGCAAATGGATGCTGATCCCTAATCCATCTGTTAGACATACATATAATATTGGCTTATTGGCTTTCCACAAATGTTGAAGTGGCTGCTATATGTAAAGTGTTAAAGTAACCTTGAAATAACGATATATATTTAATTTCTGCTATAAAGTAAACTTAGAGTAGTGAAGTACCTGATATAGTTAGGCTTCTGGTAATTGAATGGCCTGCTTGGTTCGGATCACATCCAATGAATGTATGATGAAGACCGCTGCTACTGACTGGAGGAGAAGGCGGACAGGAGCAGGGCTCAGCAGGGCTCAGCAGGGAGTAGTGCCCTCGTGGCTCTGGGCCTGTTCTGTAAACTCCCCATACTCTTCTTTCTCCCAGAAAGAGAGAGAGGACCAGCACCTGGAGGAGACTGTGACATTTCTGGACAGGGACTCACTGCTGACGGCTGCCATGTGTGACAGCAAGCAGGAGGGCCCTGGTGCCAGGGAGCCAGGTGAGGGCAAGGCCACCCTCCCACAGCCGGGCCCAGGGGCTCCTGTGGCAGGCGTTGTGTGGGGCCCAGAGCAGAGGCAGGGGGAGGCAGGAGCTGCTCAGCCATGCCGCGGCTGGGAGCCTCCTTCCTCCCCAAGTGGGGCCCAGCTGGGCCAGGGGGCAGCTCTTGGGACACCCGTGCCCGCAATGGCCCCTGCTCTCCAAGGCCTCCAGCCCTGCCCATCAGCCAGGCAGGCCGGCAGGGACAGAGCAGCCCTTGGGGCCGATGCTGCTGCAGCCAAAGAGCCCCGCAGAGGTGCTCATGCCCGCTGCCATTGGCTCTGTGCCCTGCAGTGTGCATGCTGTGTCGCCGTGCAGAGGCTGACCCCTGTGCTTCCCCAGGCCCTGCCAACAGCTCCTGTGCTGCTGCTGATGCGCTGCCCAGGGCACCCACGGGCACTGCTGGAGCCTCACACCCACCACAGCCAGCTGGGGTGAGACAGCTCTGCTGCTATGGGCACGGCTCTGGGCAAAGCACCCGCATGTCCCTGGGCTGGGGGCAGTGCCCAGGTCGGGCTTGGCAGAGCCTGTCCGCTCCTGGAGGGCTGGGGGTTCTGCTCTCGTCCGGCCTGGCCCGGGTCTTGGGGGCGTTTGACATTCCTGCTTGCCCTTAGAGCCGCCAGGGATGAGCCGGAGCTCAATGGCCCCAGCCTGGCTGGACAGTCAGGACTGGAGCCTTCCCGTGGCTCCCCAACCTCCAAGACCATCAGCCCCAGATTGGAAACACTGCCAAACAGGGTTTGCCAATTTTTTTTCCTCTTAGATCTTTGAAAGGCTTTTGGAAGTAACATTGTTTGTTGAGTTCTTCAAGGAACAAAAGTGGCACGTTTCTATTCACTAAAGATTTTATTGGTTTCCTTGCATTTCTGTTTGGTATCCCTATGCTTCCTTCAGCATTCTGGGAAATAATGAAAATCTAACGAATTCTTCAGAGAAGTTTCTGAATCCACTGTTAGGAGAAGTCTCTAAATTCACTCTTTCTCTTAAATACATCCTTTACATACAGTTAAGTAGCTGCTCCTGTAACATACAAAGATGTAGTGGTTTACCTGACTGGACAACACAACATGATGTTATACACACCGGTAGATTAAAACACTTTTGTTCCTGGGGAGTTGCAAAGTTGCAGGCTCTTCTTGAGGTCCTGAATTAATTCTGCATGCCCATTCATACCTGCATTTCCTCCCCGTGCTCAGCTTTCTCCTACAGTTCCCAGGGAACAGATGTTACATACTCACCTCAAGCAATAATCTACATCAGTCTTCCCAACCCTTTTTCTTCACTGAACTCTACTGATCTACAAAATAACTTTGGGCCCTCTGTGGAAAAAAAAAAAAAAAAGAACCAATTAATAGGCTTAAACACTTCTGATTGTGCTGCTGCTTCTAACAATCATGGACAACACAGCAATAAAGTCAGGAGTCAATTCTTCACATCCTTCCTGTTCTCTTGCCCCCCACCAGACGTTGTCTCCCTACAGAAATGTTCCCTACTGTGGCCTGGTGTCCACAGGACAATGAAAGGCAGCAGCAGTTTTCCTCAGCATGCTGCAGTCTAAATTGCAGTGAAATAGCCGCTGTTTCATTAGAAGCTCAGCACCAGGATCACACATCTTCCCCCAGAATTGGGGCCTGCTAAGGACTGAGCTCTCCATTTTAACACCCCCTGCAAATCAGACCGCCTGGAAGAGTGCTGGGCACTAACTGTATGAACACAGCAATACATTTCTGCAGCGTTATCGAGTCAGTCTTGAGAAACGCACATCATTTAAGCCTGTCTTAAGACTCTATTCTACAAAACATATAACAAGCAATTGTTTTGCTGGCCTCTGCAATTTTTGGGGACTCTGTGTGTTTCCTTTGGTTGTTGTTTTCTTTGTTTCTAAATACAAAATCCCCTGGATTCAGAAGAGAAAAGCCCAGATTCATTAGGACAAAGAACCACAGGGACAAGAACACTCAACATTCCTAGTGGTAACACCAGAAAGACGGGAAAAAGTTAAACATTATATAAATACCTGAAAGGATCCAAAATGTCTAGGTAACCTGTCACGTGGCTAATGTTTTGGTAAGGTCTAAAAGTCTAGATTCCTATTAGGCAATTCTCTGAAAGAGAAGAAAGCCAGAAATCTGCTTGGCCTTTATTTTACCAGGGCTTTCTCACGGGATTCTACCACAATTTTGAGCACAAGTAAGGATGCCAAAATTTGACTAGAAACATTCCTAAGCAGGCAGCATTTTTTCCTCCTCACGGAATTCCAGGAACAGTTTTAAAAAAATACAAAAGGGGGCGAAGAAATTCTGTCGTACCTCTTAGGCGTTCATCATCTTTGGAGAAGAAGAAAACTCTAGCACTTTCTGTGCGTGGTAAAGAAACAAACCTAGACAAGTACAAAGGGATTTTAGCACCCAAAATTGTGCTATCAAATGCCATGAAAGCAAGCTAAAACTGTAGTGCTTCAGAGAAATGGTATACATTGAAAAGCTTTATTCCCTAGTAGCCAAATAGAGCCTTCTAGAAAAAAAAATAAACAACTTCTTAACAGAAAACTGACTGTGTCTTTGGCTTCTGGCCAAACTCAGATTGGAGTTGGTCAAACCAAAATGAGCCAGTTAATTTCTTGTGCTCAACATCTCTCTTTTCATATTCAACTTCACATCACATGGGCTGCTGGGAGTTTTTACTCTGGGCAGCACAAATGGTTTTCCAAGATGACTTTCATTGCTCAGAGGTGTGCAATCTCAGTTTCCCATTCCCTGAGTGCTGCTATTAATATTCCCACAGCATCCAACTACTACAGCCAGGTAGAGAGCAAATAGAAATGGAACTTGCATTTCTTGGTCCTTTTCAGTTTCTCGCGTCTCAGGCTCATCATCACCCTCAGAACTGCTGTCTTGGAAACGTGAATCCTCTTGCCATGTGACTTTTACCGGCTTTATTGTTCCGAATCTGCAAGACTCTGCAATAAGAGCACCCAAAAAGAAACAAAGCCACATCCAGATTGTTCCTCCACTTGTCAGGAAGGATTCCTCCTTTCAAGACAAATACTTACAGTGGAGAAGACAGATGTAGGAAGGACAGAATCTTCTCCTGCCAGATTTTCTGAGCTACATCTCGGCTCCAGGATTTTGCACTTTGTTCTAGGGATCTCTGCTGTATTCTTAAACATTTATCGTTGCATTCAGAAGGCACTGAATACCTTCTGAATTCAGCACAAGTGTGTGAGTCTTGTTGCCTTGTGTTGTTGCGTTGGTTTTTTTTAATATTTTGGATAACTTCACATGGTTTCTTTTCTCTCCTACAGGTCTGTTAGTCAATTTAATGTTGTTTCATCTTCTTTTCATAAGGCCTCATTTATCTAAGGTTAGAACACCGCAATGATCATTTGTCATTCAGTTTCCTTTTTCTAAAGGTCCAAGAATAGAATTCAGTAACAAGCAGAATGTTCATGGGTCTTGCGGTCGACTCCAGGATTTTGCTCCTCCCTCTACATTAACACACATTTCCTTTAAAATCTTGTTGGGTTCTATGAAACTTCATATGACTGGTGTGTCACCTTTCTCCTTCTTTGAGAGATTCAGGGCATGACAACAAGCCTTTTCACCACTCAGCAAAAAACCCCATTTCCTTCTCAAAGCACGCCTTTCAGAATTCCTGAGATGCAAGCATGACTTACTGCTCATTAATCTACCACAGCCTTGGCAAGCAGAAATGAAGATCAAATTGCTTCTGCCTACTTACTGACTTCTGCTGCTGAAAATCCCCTGTGTCCTGACCTTCTTTACACCACAATGCTCTACAGTGCCTGCCAGAAGCTCTTCCTTAGAAATGGCACTGTGAGAAGTGTTCTGCTGTTACCTTCTTTGATGCCCAACTCCTCTGTGTCTCCAAAGAAGGCAAACTTGAACGCGCTCGACTCCTGAGCTGCGTCGTTCTTGGGCAAAGGTCCCAGATGGTCATCTGGGGCAGAGTCCTGTGCATCCTCTTTGTCCCAGGGTATTTCCACAGTCTTTTCTGGTTTGTTCTTTGAAGCTCCAAACAAATCTTTTAAGTCAGCAGCAATAAAGTAATGGATTTCTTCAGACACTTGAGGCAGTGTCCCGCTCTCTTCTTTCTTCTTTCTTTTGGCTTTACTGAAATGAGTTTGTTCAAGGATAGCAAAACAGTGCACGACCTTTCCAAAGACAGCTTCCCTAAGACACACCTTGCTCTGAACATCTCCCTAACTGTATCCAAGCCCATTAAGGAGAGGTTCACTCAAGAGTGAGCAGTGGGGAAACATCTCAGCTTGGAGTCGAAAGGCCGGAAGAAGAGTCCTTCTTAATCATTTAAGTGACTTTTCACTTAATACCTGGTAAGACAGAAATCAAGGGATTTAGCACAAGACTACTTTCCTGCCAGTAGAAATGTCAAGAGCCAATACAGTTTTCTCACAGACCTGCAAATCGTAAGGTCCCTGTACTGACCGTTCTCACCTTCACTTCCGGCAGTGAACTGATGGACTAGAAAGAAAAGTTGAGGCTACGCGCTGCTGTTGGAGGTCCCAGTTGAGGCCCGACGCCGCTGGCGGGAGCGGTTGCTCCTGTGGGTCCTCCCTGATGGTGTCCCCGTGCGCCTGGGCATTTCAGCACTTGCTGCTCTCCTCCTGCTCCTGTCCTGGCGACTCCTGGACCGGAGAGGTTGATTTGAGGCCCGGCGCTGCAGGCGGGGGCTTCTGCGTCTGGGCGATGTCCCTGATGGAGTCTCCCTTTGCCTGGGCCTCTCAGTCCTTGGTGCTGTCCTGTGGCTGCTGTCACGACGACTCCTGGACCGGACAGGTGGACTTAGGGCCTGACCTTGCAGGCGGGAGCTTCTGCGTCTGGGCGATGTCCCTGATGGAGTCTCCCTTTGCCTGGGCCTCTCAGTCCTTGGTGCTGTCCTGTGGCTGCTGTCACGACGACTCCTGGACTGGACAGGTGGACTTAGGGCCTGACCTTGCAGGCGGGAGCTTCTGCGTCTGGGCGATGTCCCTGATGGAGTCTCCCTTTGCCTGGGCCTCTCAGTCCTTGGTGCTGTCCTGTGGCTGCTGTCACGGCGACTCCTGGACCGGACAGGTGGACTGAGGGCCCGGTGCTGCTGGCAGGAGCGGCGGCGTCTGGGGGATGCCTGTGAAGGTGTCTCCCTTTGCCTGGGCCTCTCAGTCCTTGGTCTCGTCCTGCTGCAGCTCTCACGGCGACTCCTTGATCGGACTGGTCCATTGGAGGCCCGACCTTGCTGGTGGGAGCGGGTGCGCCTGCGGCCGGGCCCAGCATGTCTGGAATGGCCGCTGTCCTCAGGCTCAGGGGTGCTGCTGTACATTGACCTTGGTGTGCTGGGGCTGCTGGTGTCCAGCGAGGGAGATGGCAGAGACTGCTGCCGTGCTGTGCGTTGGTGGCTGCTGCTGCTGCTGGTCTCTGTGGATGAAGCCTGGGGATCCAGCCCCGATGGCACCGGGCCACAGGAGCTGGGGCTGATGGCCTCAGATTCTGCGGAGCCGTTAGCAGGCTCCCGTCCTGACTGACTAGCCAGCCGGGGCCCACTGAGCTCTGGCTCATCTCTGGAGGCTGTAAGGACAAGCAGGAATGTCAAAGACCACCCAGGCCCAAGGCAAGCCTGGCCAGAGCAGAACCCCAGCCCTTCAGGAGCAGACGGGCTCTGCCAGGCCCAGCCTGGGCACTGCCCCCAGCCCAGGGACACCGGGTGCTTTGCCTCATACCCGTTCCAAGACCAGCACAGCTGTCACACTCCCAGCTCTGTACGCTGTTTCTCAGGCCGGAGCAGCGCCTGTGGGTGCCCTCAGCAGCGCAGGAGGAGCACAGGAGCAGTTCCCAGGGCCTGGGGAAGCAAATGGGTTCATGGCACTGAGGACAAAGTGATTGTCCGGCCAAGCTCTTCTAGTTCTTTTCTCTTTGAGCCCTTGAAGTGACACGGGTACCTTTCAGAGCCTCAGGTGCAGCTCCCCAACTTACCCCTCTTCCTCTGCCTCCTCCCTGCCTCCCGGGTAAAGGCAATCCCTGGCATTGCACCTGCTGTGCCTCTCTCTTAGATTCACGAAGGCATTGTTGTCCTCCCATGTTGGCAGTCTGATATGGAAAAAGGAAAAGCTGATGAGTTTCTGCTGCCCTCCCCTCACGGAGGTACAGGTTGTCCCTGCTCTTCCTCCCATACTTTTCCAAGGCGTGCATGAAGCTGAAGCCCAGACTCACGGGACAGGGCAGGGCCAGGACTGCTGGGGCAGGGCCTGGCACGGCACAGACCTTGCACCTCCTGTCCTGTGAGGCAGGCAGAAGGACACCAACCTGAAGGGGGTTCGGATCCCCATGATGAACATTTCGACAAGGAATGCCTCCTGGTCTCTGCACAGGGGGCACCGGAAATATAAAAGACCAGCGCGCATGGCCTGTCCCTGCAGGACAAACAGAAGCAGGGTGAGCAAGGCCCTGGTGCTGCTGAGACCCTGCTGTGCCCTTGGGCTGAGGGGAGGGCTCCTACCTGGATGCAGTCCCTGTGGAACCAGGCCCTTTTGCACGTTGGGCACACCAGGGTTCTGAAGGTCTTTCTATCCTCCACAGGCTCCATGCAGATGGGGCAATCGGTGCCCGGCTCTGGAGTTGCCTCCACATCCTGCTTTGGACAGTGCTCAGGGCAGAAGGAGCTGGAGGAAAATGGATGGGCAAAGTGAGAAGTATTGGATCTTCCGCCAGGGGTGACCAGGAGTGGGGAGGTTGTACCTGTAATATGGAATATACTGTGTGATGCAGCCACCCTCCTTGGCACAGGGCAGGTGGAACCATCTGTCACAGCCCTCCATGCAGCACATGATGGCTGCCCCGCTCAGGCCACAGACGCAGCAGCGCTGGAAAGAGCCAAGCAACCCCATCAGCAGCAGCCTCGGGGCCTCCCCAGGCAGCCCCAGGGCTCCGGGCAGGGCGCAGGATGTGGCCACTGCTGGGTCTCAGCCCACAGAGCCGTCTGGTGGAGGAGGGGGGCTCCTGTGCCAGAGCCTCTGTGCAGCTGCTGGGAGCCAGACTTTGTCCCACAGCCGGCCTGAAGGGCAGGCCTTTCATTCCTAGTGTCTGGGCTAAGCGCTAACAAACCTCATCTGGCACAAATCTCCCTGCTTGCATCAGGCTCTCACCTTTTGTGCCGCCCGCCGCACTGCAATTTGGATATCTTGAGGAAGAAATCCCATGAGTCCAACATGCTTGTTCTCTTGACGAAAAAGTAGAGTGGCAAAGAACTGCAGCAGAGGGGAGGAGCAGATGAGGAGAGAGGGGCAGGAACTGCCCATTGCAATGGTGGAGGGAGCTCCCGGAGCCACTCACCAGGCAGTACAGGTGGGCACAGAGCCCGCGCTTCTCCAGTTTGTCACCGCAGATGTCCGGGTCAGCCTCTGCACGGCGACACAGCATGCACACTGCAGGGCACAGAGCCAATGGCAGCGGGCATGAGCACCTCTGCGGGGCTCTTTGGCTGCAGCAGCATCGGCCCCAAGGGCTGCTCTGTCCCTGCCGGCCTGCCTGGCTGATGGGCAGGGCTGGAGGCCTTGGAGAGCAGGGGCCATTGCGGGCACGGGTGTCCCAAGAGCTGCCCCCTGGCCCAGCTGGGCCCCACTTGGGGAGGAAGGAGGCTCCCAGCCGCGGCATGGCTGAGCAGCTCCTGCCTCCCCCTGCCTCTGCTCTGGGCCCCACACAACGCCTGCCACAGGAGCCCCTGGGCCCGGCTGTGGGAGGGTGGCCTTGCCCTCACCTGGCTCCCTGGCACCAGGGCCCTCCTGCTTGCTGTCGCACATGGCAGCCGTCAGCAGTGAGTCCCTGTCCAGAAACGTCACAGTCTCCTCCAGGTGCTGGTCCTCTCTCTCTGTGGGAGAAAGAGGAGGGTGGGGAGTTTGCAGCACAGGCCCAGAGCCACAAGGGCACTACTCCCTGCTGAGCCCTGCGTGAGCCCTGCTCCTGCCCGCCTTCTCCTCCCGTCGTCGCCTCGAGGAACACCGCAGTCTGCTCTGGCTGTTCCTCCGCTGATTCTGGGCAGGGAGAGGCAGGGGAGCCTGCAGCACAGGCCCGGAGCCCCGAGCTGTGGGGCTCCTCTGGTCCCTGGGCAGCAGAGTCCCTGCCCTGCCTTCTCCTCCCGTTGTCAGGTCGCACTGACACACGGCCTGAGCCCAGCCTTCCCTTTTGAGGCCTTGGTTGCACAGGTCACAATGGCCACTCTGACATCAGCATCGTGCAGCCAAAAGTGGGGCAGCCATGGCCTCAGGTTCCTGGCAACCACTTGAGGCGGCCCCCTTGGGAACCCAGGTTCTGAGATGGGTGCGAAGGTTGGGCCAGCAGGGAACCCGGGCAGGGACTCCTGCAGCAAGTGCAGGGCCAAATGCCAGGCCCCGAGGCAGCCATCGGGCACTGCTCTGCTGCTGCTCCTGCACATTGCACACAGACACAGAGCCACCTGCTCTGTCTCAACCCTGTTCAGCACTGGACAGCAGGACACAGTAAAATGTTCTCTTGGGTACATGATCGAATCATTCAAAGTCCTGCATAAAAGCAACTCACATTCAAAGGACACGCACAAAAAACCCCAAACCCTGCTACAAACCTTGAATTGAAACAAAAAGCATGTTCCTATTCAGAAACACAGATTAACACTTTGGCCAATACTTTTTCCTATTAGGTCTTTGAAAGGATTTCAAAAGTTTTGTTATTTGGCAACTTCTTCAAGGAACAAACAGGAAATGCTTCTGATCTCTAAAACAAGATTTATTGGTTTGCTTTCACTTTCTTTTTGAAATCCTTACGCTTCACCAGGCAGTCCAGAAAATTGTGAAAATCCAACATAATATTAGGGGAAGTTTCTGAATTCACAGTTTGTCTCAAAGACTTTTTTACATACATACAAGGAACTGCTCCTGTAACATACAGAGGTGCAGTGGTTTCCCTGAGTGGACATCACAAAATGACGTTATACACGCCTCTATATTAAAGAACTTCTGTTGCCTGGTAATTACAAACCTTCAAACTCTTCTAGAGGCTTTCCTCTGTGCAACTTCACTAGGTCCCTCTCTCCTCAACTCTCAAGCATGCCCAGGTCTCACTGAAGGGCAGCACAGCCGTGTGGTTTATCAGCCCCTGCTCCCGTTTCCGTCCCATCAGCAAACCTGCTGAGGGAGCGCTCCGTCCCTTCTGCCAGGTCACTGGGGAATAGGGCAAACAAGGCTGACCCCAGCACGGCCCCCTGAGCTCACAGCTCTCTGAGTTTGGAGCTCCACTGTCCACTTCTCTACGCCACTGTCCCTGAGCTGCTCCATGACCGTGATATGGGAGGCCGGGACAAAGCCTTGCTGAAGTCCCGGCTGACAACAGCTGTCAGAACTCAAAATGTCCCTCAGACATTTTTAGATGTTCCCAGTCCAAGTCAGAAGCATTTAAGACCCTAGCAGGCAACTAAAAACAGCTGTAATTTTAGATTTAAACCATAGAATAATTTACCAACCTTACAAAAAGAACAAAAAGTTGCAAAAGTTTAAATATTATAGTAAAATTAGTCACAAAGTAAAAAGAAAAAATTTTAAGTGCTATACAAGAAGATTTTAAGTCTTATACAGGGGGGGTTTAGTTTTATACATAAAAATCAAAAGTTTTAAGATAAAGAGATTTAGGCCTATCCTGTCCTCCCTCTTTCTTCTTCCTTACCTCCATATTCTTAGTAATGTTAACACTCACAAATTAATTTAGGGTAAAAAAGCACCATTTAATAGACGTAATAAGCATTAAAGAAAAACTATAAACACTTAACACATAATGTACCGTATAAAAAATAACACCAACCCTGGGCGGGGGGAGAGAAGAAAAAAACTAAAGTCAAAAAAGATATCAAAGTATGTATGTGCCTTTACCTAAGCTACTAAGCAAACCACAACTACCCAAGAAGACAATCTTTTAAATAACTTACAATCAACTACCTTGAAACCAAACAACAAAAAACTTCTAAGCCTTTCTTTAAAAGCACAAATTAAAAGAAAAATTTTTCCACCACGCAAAACCACCCCAACCTAAAGTAAGCTCCAACAAACAGCCACTGCTCTCCCCTCACAAACCCAACCAGTCAGTGCAGCAGAGGTGGCTGTGAGATTGGTCAGCCATGGTTTTCTGTCACTGTAGAGATGGACACAAGACATACACATACACCTGTGCAGCGACAGCAATGGCTTCTTCTTTATTACAAGTTGTTCTCAAGTTTTTATACCCCAAGGAAAGTGTGATCTTAAGTCATTAGTTACATCAAAAAAGCTCAGGATATTCAATGGACAAAGCAATAGCTTATTGTATTTTATGGGTACAAAGCATTGAATGTCAACAATTCATTGCAAATGTGTTTACCACAAACTATGAAGGCATGCACGCTGCTCACTAAGGCACGTATCCTCTAACTACAAGTAACCCCGATGTGTTTATCAGTTCCCATGCTAACAGCCTCGCTTTCTTCCTTGCCATGGATAAACTCATACTTTATTAATTTCTTCTTCTGCTAACTCAGTTGTTTGCCCTGCAGAACAGCTGCTAAGCCTGTTCACAGTTTTCCCTTCCTGTTATTCCACAGGCTTAGAGATGACATCCAAGAGGAGCTATTCTGTCACCTTTCTGGGGATGGAGTGAGGCTGATAGGCCTGCAGTTTCCTGGCTCCTTCTTGGTGCCCTTTTGGAAGACTAAGAAGTTAAGTGAGACCACTCCTATTTTGTCTGTACCACCAATACAGCCTCAGATAACTTTTAAATCAAGTCCTTGTGCTCACACAAGCAGACACTGCATGTTCAAGGCACAAGACCTGAATGTCTTGATGGGGAAGGGCTTTACAATACTTTACAGAAGACAGCATTTTTCACCTTTGTTTTATTTGTGTGCGAAAATGAAGAGCAATATTCTGTTGAGAGACTGAATTAATATCAAAATCAAGCTAAACCAAGCTTTCAAGTTAAGGAACACCAGGCCAGAACCTCCCTGAACAGGGTCAGTTCTCTCTATACATTCCCAAGCTTTAATAGCCTTCACTTGTACAACTGTAGATTTATTTTCTACAGGGTTCCCTCCTTGTTCTGTAACGGCAAGCACAGGTGCAAACCTGCTGTTCCCCAACATTTGAATGCTCCATTTTGAAATCTTAATTTTTATTAATAAAGTAATAACTACACCTTAACAAGGTACCCAAAAATACTAGATTGAAATCTATAAAATGCTGCTGACAGAGCCCTTTTCTGAGTGTAAGTGCATAAGTATCCTTAAGACTAGCAAGAGCATTCCCCATATCTCTGGTGGGGAAGGACAAGATTGATCTGCGTTGTCAGGCAACCAATTGCAAACTAAATATAACACTTCTAAACGCTTGTGTATCTCAAATTCATTAAACACAGAAACTAGATAAAAGGGGTTCTGCAAACTCCCCATACTCTTCTTTCTCCCACAGAGAGAGAGGACCAGCACCTGGAGGAGACTGTGACGTTTCTGGACAGGGACTCACTGCTGACGGCTGCCATGTGCGACAGCAAGCAGGAGGGCCCTGGTGCCAGGGAGCCAGGTGAGGGCAAGGCCACCCTCCCACAGCCGGGCCCAGGGGCTCCTGTGGCAGGCGTTGTGTGGGGCCCAGAGCAGAGGCAGGGGGAGGCAGGAGCTGCTCAGCCATGCCGCGGCTGGGAGCCCCAGATTTATTTCTGCTTCCAGCACTGCCCTGCTGCTTTGCCTTCAGCATTAATTTCACCTCACCCAGCTGAACATGGCCCATCCTTTGGCTCTGTGTGGTGCCCCTCAGTGGGCTGTAAGCTCTGCTGGCTCCAGGATTGTGATTTCACACTCTGCAGCACTACCAGTGACCACAGCTGTGTCTGTGGGGCTGTCAAAGCCCTTTGGGCCATGCCCAGGACAAACAGGACATGAGGGGATCCCTTCACACGTGCACAGGGAGGAAAATAAAGTAATGGACCAGGGAGTAAAGGTAAACAAAAAATCCTCTTCAGTTACACATATGGAACATTCCTGACACAGAAAAAGCATTCCACCTGCAGGAGAAAGACTGTCCAAAAGTATCACACACAGCAAACTCAGGTGGCTGTGTCACCACTGGGGTGTGACCAGGCAGGGCCCACTGGAAGCACAGACTGTTCTGCCAGCACTAAACCAGGGTGAGTGTGAAGGTCACTGAACACTCCTTGAATTCTCCCCACCCTGAAACACCTGGGTTAAATAACTGCCTGTGAAAGAAAACCAGTGATTCATTACCAATCCAGCTTCCCTTTCCTGCAGGGGATATGGGATGCTGTCAACACACCTCAGGGTACAGAAGATAAGACTAACGAGTCCCAAGCTTGAGGCCTTTGCAAGACAGGTAAGAATAAGGGGAAGCAGAGCTGGTGTGCTCATGGCCAGTCAACTAACTTCTTATTTTAACAGAAAGAACACAGCGGAGAGTTTTAATAATTTGGGAAAGGTCAGCATCCAGTCCTACCTTCACAAACCTGAGATGTCAGCACAAAGAACCTCTGAGAACTTTGCCTGTGACTAGAGTGGACACTCCTTTTAGTGTGTTTGAGATGTCATGAGCAGCAAGTCAGAGCCATATGAAGTAGGAGTCACCCAACAGGATGTAATTTTTTTTTTTTTTAATCGTTTTCTGGAATTAATATGAGCAACCAACTGTAAGATGGATTTCAGCTAGAAATATCTTTTAAATTAGAAGCCACAACTGAGCAAATAGAAGACTGTTTACAAACATTGATTATTTATTTACAGACACTCCTGCTAATGGAGTCTTCTCCCTAAAAAAAATGAGAGAAACTTAAAAGAATAGCACAATTTTCTGTAATGAGCATATCAGACACTTTGAAGGTTAAAATGTATTCCAGGCTAGAATAAAAGTAACACATGAAGGGTCATGGGTCAGCTAACTAGAAGACATGTGCATCAATGCCACTAGTCCCATCATTAAGTACACACTGTAGCTAGGAATTAAGGTAATAGAATTTTTAAAAAACTTCAGATTGCTCCTCTTGAATTTTTTTTTAAACAAATCCATACATTTAAAAAGTCAGTTCATTAAGAAAAGTGAGTCTTCACATCAGGAAAGTTAAAGATTTAAATAGAAAAGGCCCCAGCAGGAATAGCCCCAGTGGATGGTTTTAAACACAGCACAGAGAAAGAGAGGGGAGAAAAAAAGCCATTAACAGCTTTAGGGTCTTCCAGTACATTCTCCTCTTTAAATGCTGAAAAATAAGCACAAGGAAAGAAACATGGAAAAGCTCACAAAGTCTGTGCTAGTCTCAGTCAAGAATAAGAGAGAGATTCAATGGAATTCTGGATTTTTATGAATAATTTACATCAGCCTTAGCAGAGTATGGTTTTGTTTCTTTTTCAGATTTAATAGGTTTCTGACAGACAGCCTCAGGAAACCTTTAAAAAATCAGAACTTTGATTACATTACTGTCAATATTTTAGGTTTAAAACACAGATGTGGGAGCTCACTCATCCTTGCCACAAACGCATACCTCAATTTAAACTGCACTGTCGACATTGCAATATTGCTTCTAAGAAGCAGCACACCAACAGGATAACTTTCAATCTCTAAGATTTCTATATATACACACAATTTTAGACAGAATTTATTTTCAATTTCTAATCCACTTTAATTCAAAGACAGTTTGGTGATTTCAATAGGAGCAAGATCAGATAAAACAGATAAAATATAATCAAGGTGTGTGATTATATCACTTAGTGCTTCTTTTCAGCTGTAGATTTATGCTACAGTGAGAGATGAAACAATCCCCTTTAAAACACTCTAGAACCAAAGCTACAGCATGACTGCCTGTTCTCAGCAGCTCAAAGAAGAGGACATCCAGAAATCAAACTAAAACCAAAAGACTTAGACTTCCAGTTTGCAATTTCCTCTGTAAAGAAGTCAGAGAATGCCTTTAAGTGGAGTATCTAACTAACTTCTGAGTGCTTAGACTGCAGATTAATCCTGTATCTCAAATCAATTTACTTAAGGGCATTAAAATGCTTTGAAAGAAAAATTTTTATACTAACAGTCTTATCATTGCCCAGTGCCTTGTGCCAGTGAGCGTGAGGAAATGAACATTTTATGTGTGTGGTGTAAACAACTAGTTAAGTGAGACCACTCCTATTTTGTCTGTACCACCAATACAGCCTCAGATAACTTTTAAATCAAGTCCTTGTGCTCACACAAGCAGACACCACAGGCCACTTTCTTCCTGCCCAGTGCCCATTTCCACAGTGAACGTTCCAGCAACACCCCTGCATCCCAGCACAGATAAAATGATGTGCAGAGCACCCCTGCATCCCAGCACAGATAAAATGATGTGCAGAGCTCATACAGAGCTCACAGCACAGCTAAAACAAGCACAGAGCAGAAGTAAAACAATGGGATTGCAGAGAGCTTCCCATACTCTGGCCTACCTCAGTGCATTAAATCTGCTTCCCACTGTTTAAACAGAACCATTTGGGATGGCAGGGGGAAAGCACATTTTCAACATCTATAGTAACAGGGACCTTAAAGCTGCCAAGATTTCTTTGGTCATCTCCACACTGGAAGACCTTTCCCATGCAGCACAAGGCAATGGCAATTAGAGTTAGCACCAGGCCAACCTCACAGCACCACAGGATTGGCAACAATTTTTCACAACCTGCTCCAGCTCACAGATGTTTGGCTTTGTGTCCTGTAAATTTAAATTTACTTCACCTTGCCAAACTCAACAGTATCACATTTTAGATAATTTACTGATATTTTTAAGCAGTAGAGGAGAAAATCTGTGCATTATACACATTGACTGCCACTGAAATAATACTTTAACCTGAAGAGAAAAATCTACTTTTAGAAGCAACTGGTTTACACAAAGCATCTATTTTCCTTTGGCCTGTGATCTTCTAACACAGGCACAGATTTGTTTGACACACACACACATATTTACCTAGGTGAATGCATCTGGCAGTCAGTGCAGGTTGTCATAACCCAAACAACATCAGCACTTTGTGATGGCAACAAACAGCAGAAATCAATCAAGGCATTGATATGTTGATACAATTATTCCTGTTAGTGGCCAGGTGATTTATTGGTAAGTGAGATATGTAATCAAAACTGTTATTAATTGTAGTGCCAAAGATTAGAGGAACTGCATATAATGACTTGCTCAAGTTCTGCACGAGCAGCTTTCACTCACATTTATGCTTGTTTTCTGTTTTAGACTGTAAGGCTCATTTAACTTTTTTCCTTCACAAAGCTTTTTTTGTAATCAAGGGATGTCTTCAGCTAATATTCCATGGCAATGGCATTCTTTGTAAATTCATATGTCATCACTGTTGCTTGTCATTTCTAATGACAGAGAAATACTTGGTTATCATTGAAGAAAAATTACAGTATCATTACTTGTATTATTTTTTAATTTGATGAAGCTATTCACTGAGCAAACCTCCCACTTTTCTCAGGCATTAATTTTATCCAGGAACAAAGTTCTTGCCCTTTTTTTTTGCCAGTATTCTAGCCAGTAAAGCTCAAATGATACTATGATCTGCTTATGTCTGTTCTCCATTTGCTCAATACTCACTCATTCCACTTTTCTCCTTCAAGAAGCAGATAACTTTGTATTTAGTACAAGTAATTGTTACAGTAGTGTTCTAATACAGCCAGGAAAGAACAATAACTACCAAGAATCACCTTGTTTCCTTGGCACACACTCATCACAGAAGTTTTTGCTCTGAACTCTTACAGCTTGTACAGAAAAAATACCTTTCATGGTTAAGGTGTCTGATATTGAGACTACACTACAGATGCCTCTACCATTTTGTCCTTTATTCTCATGGGAAGTATTCCTTCTACAGTCAGTTTTATTAATAGTAATTGTGTTTATCAACTGAAGTGGTGGTTAACATTGAAAATCTTACAGATGCACGCTTGAGGGGAAGGAAGGAGGAAGAGAGGGAGAGAGGAAGGGAGCTTTGATTAGCACACACATGCACAAGCCTCTTCTAGCACTCACCTGAACAATCTTCCTTTCATTTTATCCCTACCCCACATGGACTGCACTATTTCATTAGTAATTTTTATTTCATATACACATTAAATTCCACGATTCTCCAAACTCCTTACTAAAGTACTGTCAGTATTTAATGCTTTTCTGTTTCAAACCTCTTCCCTTCTGTTTTATTCACGTCTTCTGGAATCCCTCTGTTGCTACACACTTGCTGGAAATCAACATCATCCTCACTACATTGAGCTACTTCTCCTCAAGCCAATAATGCTGGCAGCATCACCCTGTAAAATAAACCACAAGAATTAACAATGGCTATTGACTTACTATGTTTCTAATTCACTCTTTCAAGGTTTTATCTCAATCAATTAAAGCACTTCTTCCAATACTGGTCTTTGTATTTTGGTCTATTCTTAATCCTATTATTTATTCCTGATCCAAAGCACCACAAGCTCTTTCTACACTTACAGCTGGTGGTACCTTTTCACACAAATGTAGTCCTGAAACATCCTTGGGGTCTGGTCCAGGGAAAACTTCAGCCATTGAAAAATTAATGGAATATTCTGTTTTCCAAGAAAGGTGTGTGCTGAGGAAGTGGTGAAGTACAAACACCATGTGGGGATACGTGCCACAAGCAGCTGCCACACCATGGGAGTGGGGAGCCCTGATCTCTGCTGGGGAGCACGAACACAGGGAGGACAGGACAGTGAAGCTTACATATTTTCTTTACTTTGTAATTTCTGTTGTAAAATGAATCTTCATAACTGGATTTTCAGCAGGAAATACTCCACTTGACATTTATCTGCATTCACACTGAATGGACTGACAGGCTTGTTGGAGAGGGGCTTTGGGCAAGGGCCTGGAGTGACAGGACACCAGGAGTGGTTTCAACCCAACGCAGGGCAGGGCCACATGGGATATTGGGCAGGAATTGTTCCCTGTGAGCGGGGGGAGGCCCTGGCACAGGGTGCCCAGAGCAGCTGTGGACGGGTCTGAGATCCTCTGCAATTTCCCAGTCTCTGAGCAGGTCAGGAGGTGCAGCTGTTTTCACAAGGGAGTGCTCTGGCCCAGCCCCAATAGCCTGGGCATTCTCCTCATCTTTACCTGTGAGTTTCACAAGCATTGCCTCCTGAAGATGCCACCTGTCCAATGGGGAATGTTTCCATCTGATCCAGCTGTTCCTCTTCCTTTTTCAAGTAATTGACCAAACGCCTGTGCAGAAAGAGGCACTTCCTGGAGGAGGCAGTGGGTCAGTGCCAGCCTCTGCTGCAGGAAGGAAGGCGATGCCAAGCACGGACACAGGCATGGGCACAGGAGGTGATTGCTGTGCCGGGCTCAGCCCTCGGCGGGGCTGTGTGGCAGCAGCTCTTCCCCCAGGCCCTGCCCTTGCACGGCCCGGCAGCAGCCAAAGCTGGAGGTGCCTCGGCTTCCAGGCCTCTGGAGCTCGTTCACAGCCCCGGGGAATCGGGACTCGTGCACCAACAATGTCCCTCCCTCTGCAGCTGCTCCCGCAGCCAGCCCTGAGTGCCCAGAGGCCCCAGGCACAGGAGCAGCCCCGAGCGGGAGCCCTGCTGTGAGCCCAGGGCCAGAGCCAGCCCTGGCACACAATGGAAACCTTCTCATCTTGGTTTGCTTCTAGATGGGGATGCCCCAAAGGCTTCTCCATTAGCCTGGCAGTATGACACTTTGAAGCCCTCTGGGCATCCTGCAGGTATGTTCTCAGTGTCTCATAATCATTGACTATCTGGAAGGAACCAGGTGACAGAAGCTCCTGTGCCTGTTCAGTTACAGGCGTTTCTGCAGAGAGGATCTCTCCAGCTCCTGGGATGGATGATGCACACCAACCCAGCTCCCATCACAGGGGTGAGTAGTGTGTCCCTGCTGAACCCACAGGCTGAGCAATGGTTTTGTGGGGTCCATTCCTGGGAAATGGAACAGCTTTCTGTTAAGATCCTCCAATAGGAAACACCAACCAGATGGTAGACAAGAAATCCCAGAAACCATTTGAAGTCATGTGGAAAATGCTGAAGGAAATGGAACAGGCAGGACAAGGTGGGTGCATTTCCCTCAGCCTTCCCCTGGGACTCAGCAGCCGGGGCCTTTCCCTGCACATCTGGACAGGCCCTGCCCGGCACAGCGGGAAGGGATCCATGGCAGCCTCGCTGCCCCGCTGCTGCTCTCCTGGCCTGCAGGGCTGTTTCCCAGCCTGGGCTGGCTGCAGCTTCTCCCCAGCCTGTGCAGGAAGGCATTTGGCACCAGCTGACACGGACCCCAAACTGCACCATGGGCCATGCACAGCCTGAAATCCCCTGAAGTTTCCCTGTCTCTGAGCACATCAGATTGAGGGGCTGTTTGGAGAAGGGACCAGCATAGGGCAGTCCCAACATCCTGAGTGTTTTCCGATGCTTATCCATATCTTTCAAAAATATTCCCTCCTCAAGATGTTACCTTCCCCATTCCCCATGCGGAATGTTTCCATCTGATCCAGCTGTCTCTTTTCCATTGTCGGGAAATGAAAGGAGAGCCTGTGCAGAAGGAAGCATTTCCCAGAGGAAGCAGAGATTCTGTGCCAGCCTCTGCTGCAGGAAGGGAGGCGATGCCAGGCACAGTCACAGGAGGTAATTGCTGTGCCTCTGGGCCTGAGCCCTGCTGAGCCTTGAGCTGCCCTCTCTGCTGCTTGGCAGCGTGGGCACAGCCCGGACAAGGCCGGCACAGCCCAGAGGAATTATTATGCCCGGGGCACTCCGGTACTGAGCAGTCCTGCTGGGGTCCCTCTGTGGGAGACACGTCCCGAGCTCTGGAAGTGACTGCACGGGGTGCCCATGGTGGGGAAAGGGCAGAGGGGGAGAGCAAGGCTCCAGAGTGTCCTGAGAGGGCCTGGCTATGTGCCATTGGGCTGAGGGATTTGTCCCAGCAGTAAGAGGGCAGGAGGGACAGGGGGAGGCAAGGATACCTGTGGAACTGCCTGCTGCAGTTTTCCCCTGGGCTTTAGGGAGGGTTTCCTCTGTGGGAAGAAGAGAACCCCCAGGGCCCCAGGCTGCTCCAGCTGCCCATCCATGGATGTTGCCAGGGCCTGCAAAGAGCATGGACAGTGACCAGGAGCAAGCCCTGAGCTCCACAGGCCCTGTGCTCCTTTGGCCTTTTCCATTCACATCTGGATCCCATGGCCTTACCCAACCCCCTTGCAAGTGCTCAGTTCCTAAACGCAGAAGGGGACCACAGCACACCAAGGAAATGGTTCTGATCTGTGCTCACTTCTAGATTTGGATGGCAACCTGGATTATTTGGAAGCCATGCTGGAAAATGGCTTGAAGTTCTTGGAGGATGTTGGAGGCAAGTTTTCAATATGCCTTTCCTGAGACAAAAATCAGAGTCAGTGTGACAAGAGCTCACCCATCTTCCACTTCCCTTAACATCATCCCAGGGTTGAAGGAATCTGGAAGCCTCGCCCTGCTCACTTTCTGGAGCCCTGAGTGATCCCACAGGATCACTGTCAGTGGGAGGAAGGAACATTTAGCTGTCAGTTTTATTCCTGTGTGCAATGCCAGAGTGTCCTTCCGTGTGCTCTGTGCAGCCCCAGAGAAGAGCAGAGAGGGAAGGGGCCGAGCCCAGGGCTGTGTCCTGGGGCTGAGCCTTGGGTGCAGCCTGAGGATCTCCTACATTGTCACAGGAGCTGTTCTGCCCTGCCTTTCTTTGCAGATAACCCTGCTGGTGAAAGTGATCTGGCTTCCCAACCCACGTTCAGGATGGAGGCTCTGGGAGATGCTGAGGGTAGGTCAAGGCCTTTCCCCCTGCGAGAGCTGCCAGCTCAGAGCCCAAAGCTCGGCCAGGGGGGCATCGCTGCAGGTGCCAGGACAGAACCATGCACGGGTGTGCCCTCGCCCTGGGTCATCCCCTTATGACTTCTGCCCAGGCTTGGCAGGTGCTTGAAGGAGGGAGGGCCATGGCCCAGTCCCAAAACCCAGATGTTTTTCTGGTCCTTAACCATGATTTGAATAGCATTGCCTCCTGAAGATGCCACCTCCCTCAATGGCGGATGGTTCCATCTGATCCAGCTGTCTCTTTTCCTTTCTCAAGAAATGGACCAAACATCTCTGCAGAAGGAGGCACATCCCGGAGGAAGCAGTGGCTCAGTGCCAACCTCTGCTGCAGGAAGGAAGGCGATGCCAGGCACGGGCACAGGCACAGGAGGTGATTGCTGTGCCGGGCTCAGCCCTCGGCGGGGCTGTGTGGCAGCAGCTCTTCCCCCAGGCCCTGCCCTTGCACGGCCCAGCAGCAGCCAAAGCTGGAGGTGCCTCGGCTTCCAGGCCTCTGGAGCTCGTTCACAGCCCCGGGGAATCGGGACTCGTGCACCAACTATGTCCCTCCCTCTGCAGCTGCTCCCGCAGCCGGCCCTGAGTGCCCAGAGGCCCCAGGCACAGGAGCAGCCCCGAGCGGGAGCCCTGCTGTGAGCCCAGGGCCAGAGCCAGCCCTGGCTCCCGACTGGGCCGGGGCTGCACTGGGTCCTGACAGGGCCTGGCTCTGTCCCCTGGGGCTGGGGGAGCTGTCGCGGGGCAGGGAGGGCCAGGGCTGGCAGGGGCTGCTCAGGGATGGGTTTGGTCCCTGTCCCTCCAAGCAGAGACGGCCCAAGCAGCTGTGCTGGCCCCGGGCTCTCCTGCCGGCCTGCTGGGCTTTGTTGGGTGGCACAGCCTGTGCCAAGGGGTGGCAAGGTGCCTGCAGGCCCCAGCTCTGGGGCAAACAGAGAACGTCCTGGCCGTATCCACCGTGCTGCCAGCTCAGCAGTGCAGCACAGCGCGGGCTCACGCTCCCCATTGCTCCCACAGATGCTGCCGGCCCCACAACACCTGTTCCCGATGCCCAGAAAAGCCTCAGAAGTCGTTGCTATTGGGAAACACACTGTTTGATACAGTTAATTGCAGGTCTGCTTTTTTTGGAGCTTTCCTTCATGTTCACCTGTGTTGGAATCTGGTGTTACTGCAAGAGAAAACGGTGAGTGTTTTCATCATCTTTCCCTCAAACAGTTTATTTTAAAAGTCTAATGTAGATGGGAAACATTTCCAGTCAGGCTGCAGTGGAGCTGTGGCCAGTCCATGGCTGTCCAAAGAACTCGGCTGAAGGTTCTGCTGTGCCCAGTGCTTTCCTTGGCCCCTTCATTGCTGGGCCTTGTCCTGGGGCCCGCTGGGGCTGCAGCCAGTGCTGGCTCCCACTGAGGCTGCCTGGCCAAGAGCAGCCCCAGGGGCACAGGGCAGAGGCACAGCAAGGTGGGGAGGAGAAAGAGCGGGGACGAGATCGCCCCTGAAAGGCAGAGGCGCTCTGGGGCCCGCTCCTGGCCAGGGAGCCTGCCCAGAGCCGTCCCCTGCTCGCCGGGGCCTTGAGGGGCAGCTGTCCAGCTGGGCCAAGGTGTGCCAGCCGCTCCAGCCGTGCTGGGGAGCCCTGCCAGCTCTGGGCCCTGCTGTGCAGGAGGCTCCCTGTGTGCCACTGGCAGCTGGGGCCTCAGCCACTCCTCTCTCCACAGCAGCGCCTCTGCAGCTTCACAAGACCAGATGACTTCAGCCATGCAGATCTGTTCCTGTCATCAGCCTTCCCCAAGCCAGTTTCCAACATGCCTTCCGCAGCTGCATTACCCACTTACTTCTGGGGACATGCTGCCACCACCCATAACAGAACCCTCTGTCCCCAAAGGTGCTGGCCCTGGTGTCCAGCCAGGACAGGAGGTACAGCCCTCCTGCCAGGGTAGGGCCTGACTCCAGCAGCATCTTTGGGCTTCAGCTCTGGTCCCTGGGTGCTCCCACCAGCACTGGCAGAGCTGCTTGTCTGGGCACAGTCAGTGCTGGGCAGGCAGCAGCTGGGCTTCGGGCACCTGAGACCAGCAGCTACTGTGTTTAGTTTTCATTTTGCAGGATTTAGGAATATTTTTCATAGAAAATTCTCCAAATATTTAGTCCCTTTTCCCACAACAGTTCTATATTTTTCAAAGTAGTTTTAGTATTCAGAAAAACTTAGAATATTTTCACACTTTTAGAATAAAAATATAAAATGCATTGAATTGCTAGTCTATGCTCTACTAAAAACTAAGACACCCTATGACTCACAGCCTGCTTCAGAGGCTCTTTTCCCACAGGAGACTTGTGCCTAATCACAACAACTAACCTAAAACCTTTTCCCTGATGTTTTCTGGGATTCCTGACAAGCTCACCTCTCAGTCTTCAGAGGCAAACCTTGAGCACAGCAGGAATCTTTTCAAGTCACCATCTTTCTTTGCTTCTGCACAAAGTGCCTCAGTCATAGAGCAGGGGCTTTGCTCAGCTTCCTGCCGCCCTGCTGCCCCCAAGGCTGTCCTGAGCCCTCTGCTGCAGCTGCTGCGCTGCCATGGAGCTGCTGTAAAACACAACAGCTCTGCCACACGCGCTCAGCAGGACTGGAGAAGCTTTCTGGCCTTGCTTACATTAGGCTGGTGGCTTCTCTAAACACAAGTTGAGCTTTTGAACGCTATGTCTCACCTGGCACAGGAACTGATGCTGCCTTTCTCATGGAGGCTAAACTCCCATGGGCTTTAAAAGTTTTCTGGCCAGCATAAGGCCTGGAAAACCATTTAATGCAGCCATTTAGTATTGAAAATGGCCCAGTCTATGTATTAAAGTAGCTTGTTTAAATGCTGGAGCCCATCAGAGCATCCCTCCAGGGCATATCTGTCTCTCCCCCACCTCTGCCTCCATGACTGCCAAACTGCACCTTTGAGAGTTCTCTTCTCCAGAAGCTGAATGGCACCTTTTTATTTGGGGGAGGAAAAAAAAAAAGGAAATGTTCTATGCTACTATCATCATCATCACAATAATGAGCTGCAAATTAGTTAAATGACATCAACAACTCAGACTGTGGACTTAGTTCTCAGAGTGCAGCACTGGCTTTACTATCCCTTGAATCTGCAGATGTGCTACAGTCTTTAAAATCCGTTTCATGCTTACCTAATTTGGAGTCAAGCACAGCTCTGTGAGAGCTTTAGGGGTTGGGCCTACCCTGGCACTCTCGAGGTGTCTGGAGTGACCTGCCCAAGCCATCTGCCACCTGAAGAGCAAAGCAGGGTATGGAAAAGCACAGGCTGCAGAACAGCTCGAACTGCAGGGAGCCCATTCCTGTCAGGAGTAACACGACCATCCCACCTTAGGACTGGGTTTTGTGAGAAACAACTGCACACTTTAAAAGTTTTAAAACGTTTATTAGACATTTACAAAAACATAAGAGAAGGACTCATAAGGAAGAACAGGCCTGGGAAGGCCCCCTGCCCCATGGCTGCTACCTGCCAGGTGGCTGCCTCATCTTCAAGATTGATGCTTCACCTTTTACATTCCTGGAGGGTGCATCAGCCACCCCTGGGCCCTCCCAAAGTCTGTCAGTCAACCCTTCTTTGCCGTTTATTGGTGGAATTTATTTCTTGTAGCTGCGTTTGAAGGTCAGGTGTTGTCATGCCGCGTCCCCCCAGCAACAAGCTTTTCCATTCCTACTCTCCCATGCAAGGGGTATATGTCGATACCTATTGTGGTGGACCCCCACTGCAGGGAATGACGTGCATTGACTCCATGTTTGCAGAAGGATGAATAAAAGCTTTATTAAGCTGTCCTATATTACACTATACTAAAAACTATATTACTGCTATACTGAAGAGAAACCCGTGACCCTTAGAGACAGTCCAACACAGAGTGGCTCCAGTTGGTCAAATGAAATCAAAACACCATCACCAGAGTCCAATGAAGAAATCCCTCTTTGGTAAACAATCTCCATAACACATTCCACATGTGCCAAACATCAGATGCAGCAAATGGAGATAATTGTTTTTCTTCTTTCTCTGAGCTTTCTCACAGCCTTCCCCAGGATGTTCCTGGGAAAGCCTGTGTCTCTCACTGTTCAAAGGATATGTGAATACCACACACGCCTTCTTTCTACCTGTCTAGACAGCCCAGGCTGTCTGGTGGGAACAATAGGGAGTGGGGGGTGAGATGTATGATTATAATTTACTCCAATTAAATATTGTTGTATTGAATCAAGGCAAATATGATTTGGCATGTATAATATTTAGTTATTACACAATACACATACCAGCACTGTAAGCTGCCCCCCCCCCCCACACACACACATATTTGTTTACACCAGAGCCAGGTTTTTTTTGGACAATGCCTCATTTACAATTAATACATGTGGCTAGTCTGGAGATGGGCTGTCCCAAAAGGAGATACTGGAACACCTGGGAGCTGATCATCCCGGTAGCGACTCAAGATTGGGATCGCTGGAGTCCTCCGGGCTGATGCATCTGAATGCCACGGTTCCCATAACCTCATCAGGAAAAATTGTCCACACCTGGACCTGGATTGTTCAACCCCGGCTGAGAGAAAAGAACTTTATGAATATGTGGGACTCTGAATAGAGAGAAAAGGCAGGTGACTGAAATCCTGGCCTCGGGCAGAAAATTTCCTATAAGAACTGCAGGGTCCGGGAGGGTGGTGTGTGTGTCCAGGGGAACCTCTGCCGAGAGGCTCCTTCCTGTCACGCACCCAGTGCCGAACCTGGGCTCAGCGCTGTCCTTTTCCTTTTGGCCTGCTCAGAGAGAATTCAATCCTGAATAACTTTTTATTGTTTCATTTTAAATTTGGCTGGACTAATTTTCATTTATAAAAGGGGGAAGGGGACTGTGGGGAGAACGGAGAACATCTAAACAACAAATCACAATAACATAACTCTACATCAATAAAGCTTCTCTTAAGATACACACAATATTCATCCCTTAATTGCAAGAGCCAATCATCTCATATTCTATCTATTACAGTTTGGATGGAGACCAGAAGTAATACCTTGCAAAAGGAAAAGAGGGTACAAAGGTCCCTGCAGTCCCCTGGCCTGGTACCTCAGCCAGTGGGGAAAGGAAGAGGGCAGCATGTGGCCAGGAGTTTAAATAGAGGCTGTGTCCTCCAAAACTTTGAGAGAGAAAAGCCCAGCAGCAGATGTCCCCATGGACTCTCTCCCTTTATTCAAACAAAGCTGCAGGGCTCCTCTGGCTCCTTTATGGACACTGGCTTTTCACAGCCTGGTTTGTATGCACACCTGTTTCCTTGTATCAGAATATCACCAGCCTGCAGTGACTCCCTGCCACTCTGGTCTGCAGGAGAAATGGAGCTGATTTCCATTAAGGCCCTCCCAGAGGGAAGGAAGAACAGACCCAGAGGAGACAAGCAACCCCTGCAGACATCCAAACTTCTGCACCAGATGCCGAGTGAGTCGCAGAGGGGGCGTAGTGGGTGCATTTCCCTCAGCCTTCTCCTGAGACTCAGCAGCCGGGGGCTTGCACTGCACATGTGTGTTGGATAATCTACCAAGTTTAATTTTTTTTCATTTCTCTAGTCAGGCTTGGTTTGCCTTTGCCTTGGGGAAAGGAATTCTAATGGGTTTTTTAAGGGATGTTACACCACTCAAGGGAAATGAGCTTAACATCTCAATAAACTGGGAATAACCCAAAAGGTACCCAAAAACCATAATGACCATCGAGAAAAATCTACGATCATCATCCGCAAACGTCAAGGAATGTCAACCCCGGACACTGCCCCCTGGCATAGTTGGAGACACCTGGACTGGAAAAGCCTGAGAAGGAAATCAAGGAGTATGGCTGTCATGGTTTGACACTGGCACACAATGCCAGTGCCCCCATGAAAATGCAACCTCTCAATTGAATGCTGCGAAATGCAATCGAGAACAGAGCAAAGAAGGCCCAAGCTTAATAACAAGGAAAAAAACTTTATTAAGCTACTACTACTATACTACTCTAAAAGAAAAAAAAGATAAAAAGACCACACAAAATTCAAAATGAAAACCTTCCAAAGTATTCCTCCTCTCACCACCCAACCCCAACAAACCACAGTGAGACACAACCTGGACTCCAATCAGGTGTCCACCCTCCAGACAATCGATACTCAGTCCATCAAGGAAGAGAGGAGCCCCTCCTGTGCCACAGACCCCCCAGGAAACACAGCTGCCACATCCTGTGCTTCCATGTCACACATAGCACCACCCAGAGAAAAAGTTTGCCATGGTGGCCCTCTCCTTTCCATGCACAGTGCTCTCACCACCAATGCATGGATGGACAGACTGCTTTTAGGATTTTTCCTTTTAAGGATGCCCTGCCAAGAGGGGAAAAAACAACAGTTCAGTTTTTCATTTTTGGGACCACAGTTCCTCCCATTTCCCCCTGGGGCTTAGGGTCCAAGAACAGAGATCTTCTCTTCTTCTCTGAAGACAGGGGACACCACCACAAACCTCCCTAACTTTTCTTTGTTCGCTCAACTTCTGTCTTTTCCCAGCTGAAGCATGGTCTCTTTGGCTCACCAGCATCCTCCTAAAATACAGTCTCTCTTGGAGAAGAAGATCAGTTCAGTCTGTGGCTACCAAGAAAAAGTCCAGCCAAAAGCCACTCCATCATCTCCTCCCACCTAAAATTTCTCCTTCCAACATCCCAGGGTCCAAGCTGTCTCTCTTCCTCTCTTTCAAACCGAGGAGGAGAAAAATTTCACAAAGCTTTCATTTCTCAAGGAAGGGTTAAAAGTCCCAACTCCCAGAGATGGCTCGCTGCCCAGGCTCCCGCTCCCACAGGCAGCTGGGCACCTTGCGGCCCCCCCCAGCTCTTCTTCCCCGCGGTGAACTGCTGGCAAAACTACTGCTGTCTCTTTCTCTCTCTCTCGAGAAAGAGAGACTCTGGGGGAAAATGGAGACATCCCAGATTTTCTCCACCCTTCCATCTGCAGGGGGTTCCCAGGCCCCTCCACCCTTTGGCCTACCTCAGTCAGGCCATGGGCCTTCCCCTCCCCCGCCCAGCCACGGATGGGCAGGGGAGAGTCCTGCACTGCACGCTGACCGGAACCAAAGAGAGCGAGTTCTCCTGGGAATTCTGCTTTTAACCCCTCTGTGTTCTCAGAGGAATGTCCACCTTCAATTGGTCAATAGCCAAATTGACCTCTTTCTTTTGAGAAAATTCATTTTCCGTGTCAAACCACGACAGCAGAGTACCAGGAGACTGTGAAGAGAGCAGCAGGACTCAACGTCACTGGAGCCCCAGGCACACCTGATGCTGGCCACAGCTGTGCCTGCTGCAAGCTCCCATAGCTGCTGCCTTCCCCCTCCCTGTTGACAGCTCCCTCCCTCCAGCCCTCAGACCCTGCCCATCTCATCCCTTCCCTTTCCCTTCCATTAATAAACAGTTTGATTTCTCCCCCTTACCTGCATCTCTGTGGAGCTGAAGCGGCACAAATCCCGGGCCCTGGGACACACAGGCCCCTGCTGCTGTTCTCTTCCACGCCGTGTTCTGTGCACACACACACAGAACGAGGGCAGATCAGGCTGGAGAGGTGCCTGTGCTGAAGGTGCAGTTCCACAACCCTGTGGAGTTGCAGATCTTGCTGAGCAGCCTGGAGCCCCTGGAATTTGGAAGAGCCAAGCTGAGTATGCTCTGAAGGCAGCTGTGAGGGATTCCATGGCAAGCTTCCACGGAGGGCAAAGGAGCTTGGAATGCTGGAAGTTTTCAGGAATAGCTTTCTGAAGGCTCAGCAGTGCTCCATCCCTGCACAGGATCAGGGAGAGGGCAGAACCAGCGACCATCCGGGCTTAGCAGGGAGCTTTGGGTGTGCCTGAGGGCAAAGGAAGCAGCAGCGCGGTGCCCAAGACTGGGACACACGACCCTGCCAGTGCCCGGAGCGCTGTCAGGCAGTGCCGGGATCCCGGCTGTGGTTCTGGTCCCCACAAGTGAGGAATGGCAGCCCCAGGCTCAGAGCCAGTCAGAAAGCCAAGCAAGTGAGAGCAGAGGGAGGGCACCCTTCCAGTCTCTCTTGGGCATGGCCACAAAACAGCCCCTGCTGCTTCTTCCTCCGCCTGTGTTTGGGCTGTGCTGGTGGCAGAGGCAGCCAGGCTGTGCTCTGCCTTCCAGAGCCTGTTGGGAGCGGGCATGAAAAGCGCTGTGTGCACAGCAGAGAGGCCTGGAAGGTGCTGGCAAGAGCGTCCTGCGGGAGCAGGGCTCTGGGCTCTGGCTGGGAACAGCCTGGTCTTGGTGCCGTGGGCACAGGCAGGAGTTGAGGCAGGTGAAGAGGCACTGAGCAGCTTGTGTTTGTAGAGGGCCTGGGGCTGCCCGTCTGAGCCTCCACCTGGAAAGGCACTTGGGGGAATAGGAGCTGGAGCTGGAGTGCCTGTCCTGAAAGGACATGAAGTCCTTCAGCCTTGCCAGCGTTTCTTAAGGGTGTGTTGGTGTTGAGCAGAAAAGCGGCACATTTGGGGAAATGCATTTGGAGGACAGGGGCTTGCTTCTCAAGGAAAGTGCTTCCCAGGGAGCTCCCAGTGAGGCAGGTGCAAGTGTCCCCCTTTGGCTCTCTGTGCTCCTTTCAGTCCTTGAGGCCCTCTGCACTTGGCAGAGGGACAGGGGAAGGGAGAAGGCTGTGAAGAGCAGGTTTGGCATCCACCTGGACCTGCAGGGACCAACCCAAGCACCTGCAGCAGCGTGTGTTACCCCCCCTTTGGACAGAGGGGTGAGCAGAACCATCTCTGTCCATCTGTGAGCCCCAGAGCTCTCTGTGGGAGCTGTGAATTAAAAGGCCTTTACACACTCACTTTTCACATCTTCCCTGTCTGCTGTGTTGCATCTCTTGGCAAGATGCATTTGCCTCCTGCTTGCTGGGAGCTGCTGTGGCCCAGGGCCAGCACAGAGCTGGGCTGGGTGGGCCAGGCAGTGTGGTGGAGAGTCTTGGCTGATCTTGGTGTGTGCCTGGCCTCAGAAAAGACTTGGAAGATTTGCCTGCCGAGGTGTCCTGCTCCTTGGCTCTCCCTGTGCATCTTGGAGAGCACAAGGGAGGCATTTCTGGCAGCTGGGCATCAGCAGGCCTTCCAATGAGGGCGTGTTGTGGAGCGAGCCCAGCTGAGATACCCTGAGAGGAGCCCAGGGCTCCTTGCTCCTCTCTGCTGGCCCGTGAGCGTCTGTCTGCTTTCGGGATGGCCCTGGCTGTGTCACGGGTGCTGCGTGGACACGAGACAGCCGCTCCTGTCCCGCTGGGTCCCAGCAGCGCCTGGCAGCCGTCCTGCATCCACGTCAGGATGCTGGCCAAGAGAGGCCCTGGAAGCTGAGGCAGCTGATTTGAAGCTTCTGCAGGTGCCAACAGGTCAAGGCCAACAGTGTTCCCTCAGGATACAGCATTCCTGAGGGGCTTCCCCAGAGCTGCCTGATGCCACCCACTCCTTGTGGCACCAGTTGCTTTCCTGTGGAAGGTTCTACCTTCCCCAAGAGCACAGAGGGAGCTGGGGAAAGAGCTTGCCAGGCTGCTCTCCATCCTTTACCAGCAGCCCTGGGTGAGCAGAGTAGTCCCAGCTGAGCGCAGATGTGCCAATGGAAGAGCCGTGCACGGGAAGGCTCGGTGGGAAGGATGATCCAGGATCCATAGGCCTGGCAGCCTGAGCTTGCTGCCGGGGAAGGCCTTGGAGCAGATCCTCCTGAGTGCCATCCCACAGCACGTGCAGGGAACCAGGGGGTCTGCTGGAGGGAGGGAAACTCTGCGGAGGGACAGGGACAGCTGAGGGTCCTGACGGGAATTTGAAGGTATCTCTCTGGTGTTTGCAGGGTGTTGGTGTTGGAGGTGTGCTGGGGAAGGAGTTGTCTGGGAGGTGAGAGGTCTGGGTTGGAATTTGAGTCTGTTTTAAGGCAGCATCTGTAGTTTGGCACAGCCTTGCTCATGGGTCTCAGAAAGAATATCTGTGACTGTTTGTGTTCATGGTCCTGATTGTGCTGCAGGGAACAAGAGGGGAGAGCTGTACTTTATTGGCCACTTAGATCTCTATACCGGGGCAGGGTTAACCATTTTGCCATCTACTCATTGTTGCCAGCAGTTGCTCCAGGTGCTCCTGCCAACAGCCCCTGCAGGCAGGAGCACAGCCCCCAGTGCACGTGGGTGTGGACCATTCTGGCACAGAAGGCTCCCTGGGGCACAGATCTCTGGGGCAGGAGACGGGCACCAGCCCTGCCAGGTCTGCTTGGGCGGGGACTCTGCCAGAGCTGCTGGTGTCAGTGTTCCCCAGGCCCCAGGGCTCAGAGCAGCATTCGTGCCCTGGCCCACAGTTCCTTGTGTGTGCCACACCCACGGGTTTAGGATGGCCACGGGCCAGGACGCGTCCCAAGGAGGCTGTGGCAGCTTCCATGGAAGGTTCTGTGCCCTTCCAGCGCGGCTGCGTCGGCAGCCCTGGGAGCTCCTTCTGCTGCCAGGAGCCCGCAGAGCAGGGCAGCGTTTGCTGATGGTCTGAGCCGTTCCTAAAGATCCTGTTGGGCTGTCTCAGACACTTGGGGCCAGGGATTCCTTCCAACCTGGGCCACTTTGGCTGGGCAGGGCGTGGCCCCAGGGCAGGTGGCAGTGTGTGCAAGGGCCCTTTGTGACATGGTGCAGCATGGTCACTATGGCATAGAACGGGACAGGATGGCCTTTGTGACACGTGCTGACATAGGAGCTGGCACTAACCAGAGCACGCCACTCTGCTCAGAGCAGGCGACCGGACGGGACGGGACAGAGCGGTGCTGTGAGGAGCCCCCGCACAGCGCGCTCGTTCGTGCCTGACCCGGAGCTTTTCCGAGGCATTATTCCTACAGGTGACCTCGTGGCAAGACCACAGGACTTGGCAGCCCGTGGCCTTCCCGAGGCTTCTCTTTTGAAGTTGCCCTTGAGGACTTGTTCACTTGGAGCTTTCCTGAGCCATCTCTCTAGAAGGTGACCTCGAGGCCAGACTCTGGCATGGCGGGCAGATTTGTCGGTTTGTTCAGAGTGTTCAGGGGGAAGAAAAAGAAAAGCCCTGAAGCTGCCCCAGCACAGGAGCATGAAAACCCGGAGCAGTTCCAGCCACTGCAGGACAGTGAGTGGCAGAGCTGGGCCACAGGGCTGAAGCCTGCAGCCAGCTTGGCCCTATCCCATCCCATCCCATCCCATCCCATCCCATCCCATCCCATCCCATCCCATCCCATCCCATCCCATCCCATCCCATCCCATCCCATCCCATCCCATCCCATCCCATCCCATCCCATCCCATCCCATCCCCTGGGGATGTGCCCATGGACAGGAGGGAAGAGGGCCTGGACAGACACCCCGCAGTGGCCGTGCTCCATCCCCTGGGGCATCCTGGGGCTGTCCCTGCCTGGGGAGCGCAGGGCTGGGCTGTGTTCTCCGGCCTCTCCCGCAGCCCCTCAGCCCTGGCTGCGCTCGCTCTTTGCCAGATGCAGCCCTGGACCGCACACAAGAGAAGGAACCTGCCCGTGGCCGCTTCCGCAAAACTCTGAAGGTGCCTGCAGCCATCCCCACCTGAGCTGGGCCTGCTGTCACTGCTCAGCCCAGCAGCACGCCTGGAGCACTCCATGGAACACCCCTGGCTACCCTGTCCTTTGCTCTCCTGCAGATGTTCTGGAAGTTCCCCTGCATTCCACGTAGAAAGACCGGCAGCGCAGCAGCTGAGGGCCCGGCCGAGCCTGGCTCGGGGCTGACCGAGCTCCAGGCAGAGCCTGATGTCAGCCCAGAATCGACAGCCCACTCAGGGAACAATGCAATCCATTCTCAGAGGGTGATGGCTGTTCACATGGCAATGGCTGAGAGCGTGGCCATCACAAACACTGACACCAGAATGACTCAGGGCATCTCAAAGACTGGCACCATGCCCACTCCCACTGTGATTCATGCTCCCACTACGGATTTTCTCAAGGAGAGTGCTGTTCCTTCTCAGCAGCAGGTAAGCAGCCTGGGGCCAGGCCTGGAGGCCTCCCAGGATTGTGTGTTGCCTCAAGCCACAGTCACTGGGCCTCCTGATCCTTTGAGGCCAGCACAGTGTGGCGGGAAGGGAAGCACTTCTTGGGGGAAGCTGGGGAAGTTGTTCCCTTGGACAGCACTCCAAGTCTTCCCCGTGCTTCCTCCAGGTGCCAGCCATTGTAAGGAACATTCACCAGCGTCTCATGTCCCAAGTCACTGTGGATGTCTGGCTGAAGATCGATATTGTGAGGCTGGCTGAAGAACACCCTGCTGACCTGGTGCTGACCCTCCTGCGCTGTGCCCCAACATGTGACAGGTACAGGGCCCACGAGCCTTGAGAGCTCAGGGCTCAGCAGCCTTTAGGGCCCACGGCCCTGCACAGCCTGTGCAATGGGCTCTGCCAGACAGGCAGAGAGGCCCAGGAGCCTCGGGCCCCTCTGTTCCCTGAGCCTGCTGCCAGCGCTCCCCCCCTGCCCTTCAGGGCACAGGGGCTCTGTCACCTGGGCCCCCACGGGTGCACAGGGCATGGTGCCGTGACTGAGATGCCCCTGACACAGAGCTCTGATCCCACAGAGCCGCTGCAATGATATGGAGAACCATAGGCTCGTCGAGTCCCACAGTGGAAAAGGTGCTGCCAGTGCTGCTCTGTGTGATGGAGAACTGGCCTCTGCACAGCATGTTCACCTCTGATGGAAACTGCGAAGATGTCTTTGCCCTGGCTGTGAGTTTCTGGAACTGGCCTTTACTCGCCCCCCGGCTGCCTCTCCAGCTGCTCTCCATCCTCTCCATCCCTCAGTTGCTGGGCTGAAACCTGGGCTAGGGGCAGGCTCAGGGGGCACCAGGCCCTCTGCTCCCCCTGCCTCGGCCCTTGGGCCCTGCCCCATGGACACCTCGTCACTGAGCGCTGCCTTGGGCTGTTCTCTTGCAGGCAACTCTGGTGCTCTGGGTGATTCTCCAGGTGCCTGAGTGCCAGGAGGCGATGAACCTTTATTCCTCCCGCCTGTTTGTGGCTCTGCTCTTCCATCTTGTCGCCACCACACAGGAGATAACACCAGAGGAAGTTGCTGCATTCTGGAGAGCATGCTGGCAGGCACACCACCTTCACAGCAAGCTCAGGAGGTCCCGGTCCCCCCGTCCTTCCCGTGCCCTTGTGGCCAGTGCCAGCGCTCCCAGTGTGACCTGGGCTTTGCTCTGCACACAGGTTTGTAGTGCAGACCATGAAGGCTCTGCTCTGCCGACTGCAGTGGGACCATGTGGTGCTGGCTATGGAGCGCAAGCGTGGCTGGGACACGCTGCTGCGTGCTGACACCCAGCACGTTGCTGTGGGTCTGCTGGCCAGGTGAGACCCCCTTCTCCCCACGGTCCCCAATTTGTGCCCTGTGCCCAGGTGCCCCTCACAGTCCCTGCGGTCATGGGCCAGAGGGCCTTGTCACTGAGGGACGGCCAAGGAGACTGGAAAAGGCTGGGAGAGGAAGGTGCCCAGAAGGGGCCGCCTCACAAAGTGCCCACATCCCCTCCAGGGATGCTGGGGAAAGACCGGACCTCTGTGAGTCAGTCCTGGGAGAGGTTTGCTCCCCTCACCTCAGGGCCTTGGTGCCTTTTTCCCCTGACAGGGAGATGCGGCGTGTCTCCATCCCTTTTTGTTCTCACACCGCACTTCACTTGCTCTGGCACCTCAGAAAGGAGAAGCCATTCTATGATCTGATCTTGCTGACAGTCCTGGTGGAGGTGAGCCTGTTGGCCAGCGCTGCCTGCCTCAGCTGCCTCCCAGCTCTCTGCCCTCTCACAGCCGCAGCTGCCTGGGACGGTGCCCACGCCCCGTGCTGCTGCCTGGGCCCAGGCCTGTGCGGTTCTGGGCTCCTGCCGGCCGGGTCCCCTGTCACTGCCCTGTGCCTTTCAGGTCCTCGAGTGCCTGGACTTGAGTAAATGTCGTGGCAGCGCTCTGAAGACCATGTCAAGGTACCTCTGGAGTGAATGCTGTCATAGGCATCACCTGGCGCTCCGAGGCCTCGCAGTGCTCACCAAGGATCCTTGGATGGTGAGAAGGGGGCAGTGGCTGAAGCTGCACTGGGCAAAGCAGCCCCTTGGGCTGGCAGGGCTTCAGGAGCTGAGGCAGCTGCTCCCAGCTCTCCTGCCTCACCTGCCCCAGTGCTTTGGGACAGGCCTTTGGCCTGTGGGCCCTGCAGCAGCAGGGTGGGCCTGCAGTGCCAGGGTGGTGTTGGCCGTGCAGCCATCCACGGCTCCCCAGCCCACCCTTGTGTTCTGCACAGGCCAGAAGAATGTACCTGTTGTCTCAAAGGCTTCTGGAGCTGCTGGGGGCTCCAGATATAGAGGTGGTCAGCATGAGCCTCCGTGTGTTCATGAATGTGCTCCAGCACCAAAACATCCTGGTATCCAGCACCACTGCCCCAAAGCTGACTGAGGCACTCCTGCTGCTCTTTGACCACGTAAGGTTCTGCATCCTGAGCCACAGGCATTGGCTGCTTCCCAGAAACTTTGTGCCCTGTGGATTTTCAGGCCTTTGCCCAGGTGGGCCTGGAGTAGCTGGTATAGGTCTTTTCCTTTCCTCTAGGACAACAGCCATGTGCGCTTGCTCTCCATTCAACTCTTCTGTAAGGTGATGGAATTGGTAGTGGATGAGGGAAAAAAGCCCCTGAAGACAATTGTGAACAAGAGCCTGTTGGCACTTTTTATCTACTGTCATGATGAGAACTGGCAGGTGGCAAAGGTGAGCATTTGTATGATGCTGGCAGGGGGCTGGGCTGCCTCCTGCCCTGGCGCCTGGCGGGCTGCAGCCTCCTCCAGGCCCTTGCCACAGGGACGCGGGTCCTGCGCCCTGGGCTCTGGGGCCATCTCTGGGTCTCTGCTGCTCTCCAGGCTTCTCGGGAAACGCTGCTTGGTGCGGCCGAGTTTTTGAAGAAGAGGAATCTCAAGAAGCTGCTGAAGAAGGAGCAGCTGTCAAAGTTTGCCGAGTGCCTGGTAAGGAGGGCCGGGAAGCCGCAGCCCCAGCCTGGAGAAGCCCCCTGAGCGCGGTGCTCGGTGTGCAGGCTGGCAGCTGTGCCCCTGCCCGCTGCTGCAGCCCGAGGCCGCGCGGGCTCTGCTCCAGGCTCCTGCGGCCCGA